AAATGCCCTCATGCCCCAGGTTTGTTTTCATAAGCTGCATAGCTTACCATATCTTTGACAAATATGTACTTTAGAAAAAATATTTAATAATTTGACACATCTTACTTCTTGCATTTCTTATCAGTTTATTTTTATGCACAAGTTCCTTCCGATTCTCTTTGTTTGGCAATGTGCATTTCTTATAATAGGAATGCCACAAAGATCTGTCAAATGGATGCAAGAATGCCTCTACTGTGTTTCCATTACTATCCCATTGGGTCAAAGTTAGGATCCTCATGTTTCTTAAAATAGAAGTGATTGAGAATACCCAAAGCAGGGTAAGCATTCACATAATATCTGAAATTCCATTTTAGGGTAGGTTCATGGCTTATTGGACCCAGGGTTGTATCTCTATGAGGGCAACAATAAGAGCCCTGTTGGGGAGTGTGGAGGGTCTTCCTCTGTCTCACAAAAGACAACCTGTATCCTCAAACTGACAGGTCGTCATACACAACTTATTATTATTCCATTTTACTTAAATTCTTCCTGATAACGTTTATATAGTCGGCTTGCACTATTTTTGGAGAATGATGTGTTCCGTGAATATAGTATTTGCTGGCCTCTTACTGCTCCAACGTTTCAAGCATTTGGTAATGTCAGCTCACTATAGTCTTATTATTTCTTCACTTATCATTATTTCAGCTTATCTCTAAATATGTTCTTACAATTGAAATTTCTATACATCTAAATTCTGAAATGTCTTTGCCAAATTATGCAGTGCTTAGATTAAACCTTGGGAAATAATCTTGGAGTTTGATTAAATAGTGCCAGGGGCACAGAGAAATGGTTTAGGAGATAGTGATTGGAAAAAGAAAAAAGGCTTTAGAAGAACGGCATTAGAGTAGATAAAATCTAGCAGTAAAACAAAGGTTTTCTTCCGGGTTAAGCATCTTAGGGAGTCACTATAGTACAGTAAGAAACAGATGCTTCAGGGTCAGCAATGCTGGTGTGAAGCAAGTATCTGTTACTTTATAGTTGTGAGACTTTGGGAAACCAAATTGATCTCATAGAACTTTAGTTTTCTTATTGATAAGGCAGGGATGATAATAATGATTTCATCAGATTCTCGTGAGAATTAAATGGTAGAACATAGGAAAATACCTAGCAGAGTGCTTATCATAAATTAGGCACTAAAACAAGCAAACAAACAGAAGAAACTAGATCTAAGATGAAAGTAGGTACAAAAAATTTGCAGAAGGCTCAAGTTTCCCAATGTAAAAAAGAATAATCTTGGTTGATGCTCTCTTTAAAAAAAAAGTTACTCCAAACTCCTGAATAATAATCCTATTCAAATATGAGCTCAACTTTTCAAAGTGTAATCTGAGAAAAAAATATTTATCGAAAAGGTGAGCCTCCCCCAGACCAGGAGTGGGGCAGGAACCAGTGTGTTTGTTTTCGGTAAGGCTCGTCAATAATCTTCTCCCCAGAGGTCCCAAGAGTTCACTCAGAGTGGGTCTGTCTTTTAGTGGTAAACAGAAAACAGATGCTAAAGGACAGCGAACAGCTCTGGGAAGTCATCAAAGGGGCTTTATAAAGAATCAGTTGTAAGCAAAGCTAATGAGCCCATTAGAGGCTGTAAAGCAGGCAGAGACATTGGAAGCGCCAGCACTTGTTTTTCTTCCCCACATGTGTATCTTGGTCGTACCAAGACTTTTAAATCACACCTTCGTGAGATCTATAAACAACAGACTCGGGCAGAGGTTCTTGTGGAGCTGGAGCTGATTTGAATGTTTGTATTGAAGGGTTACTGCCAATGGTTGGACTGTAACATAAAAGACATTAGCTTAACCTTCCATAGCTTTCTCACCAAAGCTTTTCACAGAAGGGCTTGATTTATTCCTGTTTCACAACGGTAAAAATGCAAACCTGCAACTGCTGTCCAGGTGGGGGAAAGATTGCTGAAGGGACTCATGCACCCTCAGACAGACTCTTGGAGGTGAGTCAGTTCCTCAAACACTTTCTGAGTGTCTTCTAGGTACCTGAGGTATATTGTCGACCTTTGGAATACAAAGATAAATAAGTCATTGGTTCCTGCCTTTGAATAGCTCGTGGTCTAACTGGGTAAGAGGTGAGACAGCTGCATAAATACATGCCATGCACTATAAAGTGGTAAATGAAACTAGAGATAAGGAAGTCTAGAGGGAAAATTGGGCCAATTTTGAGATTCCAGGGAAGCTTTGTGAAGGATAAGATGCCTGAACTGATTCACTGGAGTATGAGGAGGACTTAGCTGGGTGAGGCTAAGCGATAGGGGGCAGTAGGGGTGGTGGCTTTCTAGGCAGAGGAATAGCCTATGTGAAATCATGGAATTGTACCATCACACCGTGTATAGTTGGGTATTGAGTGTTTAAAGCCCAGGATGAGAGTGTGCTGGAAAAGGGAATAGAAAAGCAGGTAGTTGCCAGGTCATAAAACACTATATGTTTAAATATCATCCTTTTGATCTTGTAAGAAATGGGGAATATTGAATAATTTTTGAGAAAGGAGTGCCATGGTCAAATTTCCATTTTAAATCCATCATTTTGATACCAATCTAGAAATTGGATATGAAGTAGTAAAGGGAGATCAATTAAGAAGCTTTTGAAATTGTTTATGCCAAAGATGCTGAGTCTAAATGAGAAATGAAGTAGAAAGAGTGGAGGAAAATATAGGTTCAATAAGATAGAGTACAATTGGCGAAAATTACAGACTGAATGAACATAGTCATTCGATAAGATAGTGCATCATTTTATTGAACGATACACTATTCATGATTCATGAATAGTACATGATTCAGTAGGTGCAGATGACAAATTCAGTTTTGAACATGTTAAGACTGTAGCGCTTTTGAGAGTATCCAAAGAGTTATATCCAGCAAGCATTTGAATCATGAGAGGGGTCGAAGCTAGAGATAAAACATTCCAAATCCTCAGCAACAGATAATAGTCAAATATGAGAAAGAATTATATTACCTAAGGATTACACATTAATTAATTAATTAATTAATTTACATATTCATTTATTCAACAAACACTTAACGAGCACCCACTACATGGCAGGCACTTTTTTTCTTTTGCGGAGGATGATTCACCCTGAGCTAACAGCTGTATCAACCTTCCTCTATTTTGTAAGTGGGTTGCTGCCTCAGCATGGACACTGATGAGTGGTGCAGGTTGGCACCTGGGAACCAAACCCAGGCAGCCAGAGCAGAGTGTGCTGAATTTCACCACTAGGCCACAGGGCAAGCCCCTGGCAGGCACCACTTTTTCAGTCTTTGTGGTGGAAGTAGTGAACGAACAGTCTCTGCCTCCATTGAGCATGGATTCTATAACCCAGATTGAGAAGAGCATTGGGTCAGGCAGTAGTGTAGATGGAGGAAGAGAAGGTCTCACGGAGACTAAGAAAAGAAGAGGAGGGCCAGGAGTCGAAGGCTGCTCGAGGTCAAGGAAAGAGAGAATATTAAAGAGAAAAGAGTGGTCAACAGTGTCAAATATGGCAGGAACGTCCGGTAAAATAAGACCTAATGTGCGTTCATTGGATTTGGAAATACAGAAGCCATGCTGACCGGGATGGCAGCAGTTTTAATGGACTGATGGAGCATAAACTAGATAGCAGTGCATTTAAGAGCTTAAAGAGAGTTGGAGACACTGAATATAGAGCACATTTAAAAGAGGTTTGGATGAGAAGTGAACGAGATAGAGAGGTTGGAGGCTAGAAGAGGAAGGACATTCAGTCCAGAAATCTTCAAACTTTATCTCTTGCTTACTTTCTTATTTCCAGTGGACTTTGGTCATCTTTACCTTGATATTCCACCAACAATAAAAGCTCAACAACTGACGAAATCACCATAAATCCCTCTTTCTGTATGTGCCCTCACTATTCCTAGTTACCCTCGCTTTAAACTTGGCCTCCTTTCCGTAGTTTTGATATCCTTGCGGGACCTGCCTTTCTTCACTTTCTATTGCTCTCTTTCTGCTACAGACTCTTAGTACATGATCTGTTTTGTCAGCCTAACAAAAGTTCTCTTTACTCTTGTCTTTTTGCCTAACAATACATCTTACCCATTGCTGCCAAATAATCTTGCTAAAACACATTCCTGTTCATGTTACTCCCTGGGTGTAAGGGCTTTAGAGGTTTTCCAGTGTCAACTAAATTAAGTGCAAACCCATTAAGCTGGTATTCAAATTTCTCCACAATATGCTTCCAATCAAGCTTTTCTGTTTTATATTCATTTCCCCAAAACATGTACCCTGAGATCCAGTCAAATAGGCCTGATCACTCTTTCCTAAGTTTAATTTTTTTTTCCCACCTTGGCCATGAATTCTCCTCCACTTTGCCCAAATTTTGTCTGTCCTTTAAATCCCAGTTCAGTTGTCTCCTTCATCAATTTTTTATCAGAATTCCCACACTGCCTTTATCCTTTAAACCCTTATAATACTTTATCCATAGTGATGCTCTTTGTATTATAGATACTTGTAGATTATGTTTACAATCTCTGCTATATTTTAAAAGCTATGAGAGAGGAGAATATACTTATATTTTTATTATCAATATCTTGCATAAGGCAGACAGTAGTTGTTTAATCTATGCTTGATAAATGTAAGTGAACTCCCAAAGATATAAAAATATAAAATTTTAGAGCTCAAAATGACCTTAGAATGAAATGGTCAAATCTTTTTATTTTATAGGTGAAAGAATTGAAGCTGAAAAATGTTAAGTGACCTGCCCAAGTCACATGGCTGGTAAGTGACAAAGCAGTGCTACAGATCTCGTCTCCTGATTCTCAGTCCAGTCCTCTTCCCATTTCATGACAGTATCTGTTTGGGAAGCTTGAGCTGAGCCGTCATCCTTGCCATCATTGTCCCTGACTCTGGCATCATCATTAGTGTTAACGACATAGACTCTTTTCTAGTCTCACAAGTTTGTGAATCCACAACCTAAGGAACAACTGGGAGAAGCCTTGAGCTGCCCACCCAACTCACCAGCCGAAAGAGGAAAATGGCGTTCCCAGTGACGTTGTAGTGAGCCAGAACCTCAGAATCAGTGCTGATTCCGAATGACACGTCTTGGAAATCTTGCGCCATACTACGGAATATGGACACTGCTGGTATTTCTAAATCCTAAAAACAAGAGGAAAAAAACCCCCACAGAGGTTATTTTAGATGAGAGACACATGGAAACAGAATAGAGAATAGAAATGTGCTCACTCATATCAGAAATCATAGACTTGATTTATTATCCAGTGAAATATTTACTGCTGAGAACACAGGCTAAATTTGCAAGGGCATTGTTGAATTTTCCAGGCTGGGTGGGTTAATAGGTAACTAGAAAATTGTGGCTAAGCCTAGCACTCCTTACCATAGAACTTGAAGTTTATTAATAGCTGAGAGGAACCTCAAAATCATAGAGGCCTGCAGAGTTGGGCTGCATCATCATTAACATAGCCCAGGAGGCAAATGTTTTGGGAACAACTTAGGGAGGAAAGAAGAAATGCAAAAGTAAAAAATAGGTGCTGTCAAAAGGGCCAAGAAAAGAATAAACAGTAAAAAAATTAAAAGAATAAAGAAATTAAAATAGGGGCTGACCCCTGGCATAGTGGTAATTTTGTGCACTCCACCTCTGTGGCCCAGGGTTCCCCGATTTGGATCCCGTGTGCGGACATACACACTGCTCATCAAGCCATGCTGTGGTGACATCCTACATAGAAGAACTAGAAGGACTTACAACCAGGACATACAACTATGTACTGGGGTTTTGGGGAGGAAAAAAATTAAAAAGAGGAAGATCAGCAACAAATGTTAGCTCAGGGCCAATCTTCTTCACCAAAAAGCACACCTTTAAAAGAAAGAAATTTAAAATGGAAGCTTAGAAGTTTTATTAACAAAGGTTTGTGCAGGACATGGAAGAATAGTCCCACTCCTTCCACTGTGAGCTATTGTCCATGAAGATACTGTTCATGTGTTGCTGTAATTCTGGAAACCAGATGGCAGTTGGGAACAGGGAAGTCACTTCTGAGTGATGATTCCAGTCCTTCTGCAGCAAGCTGGCATCATTTTCCCTGCTATCACGGGAACTTAGCCGGCACCAGCTCCAGGCAATAATGGGGAGTGAATGTATTCTTCCCTGACACCTCTCCGGGCTAAAGGAGGAAATGTCTAAAGAGAAAAGAAGCTGCAAGGCCACTTGCATCTGGGGTCAAGCGGAAGGAGTTCATCTGAAAGGGTGTGTGGAGTTCATTTGAGGCTATGAACACTTGTCAATCTAGGCTTTCTCTTTTTGTGTTCTGCTCCTTAGAATGGACTTGCTCAGGGATCTAGTGGCGGCATCTGGTGGCTGTTTATGTTATTGCATTCTAGTTCCACTTTCTTGCCACCCCTTGCCTTCCTGAGGGCGGCTGTTTTTGTTTAGAGATCGCTCATCACTAAAAAATGTGCTCCCTTGTCTTCCTTCCCCCTCTTCCATCTCATCGCAGCTACTTCTGGCTGTGTGTACAGAATTGACAGGGTGATGGTGAATGGAATTAATCAATGGAAACAGACAAGAAGGTTTGCAAGGAGAGAGTCGGGGCTTGATCAGCTGTGAGAATCCCCGGATGTTGTCTCCAGAGAAAGATAAAGAGGCTGGAAGGCTGCTCTCTCATTTACGGCTTCTTTTATTAGCCAGGCAGCCATTCTGGAAGATGGAGGCTAATACTTTTAATATACAAAATGCCATCTTTTTTCAACATATCAGAGCAGACAAAGAGAAAGAAGAAGGAGGGGCTACCCATTTGGTAAGGTTTTAGACAGAAATAACTATTGACTAATGTGTGTCTGGACGATAGAATTTGGGTTTATTCCAGCCCCTGCCTCAGCAATCCAGATATTGACTTAAGCTTATATCATCCGTAGATGAGGAGACCCAGTCGGCAGCCTCTGAAATCTTGAAGCAAGTATAAGAAAGATAATTCAGAGAGACTGGGAATGTCTAGAAATTGAGAGATCTCGACTGACCAGCTGAAAGCAGACTCTGTGCCCTTTGGCCTCTAATGCATGTCACCTGGCCAGCAGGTGACTGTGCTGGCTCCCTGAGGTAGACCATTTCTGGTTCTCTGGGGGAATAGAAAGTGGAGTATCTGGACAAACCTGGAAGAAGCCTATGACAGCCACCTCAGCAGCAGCGATGAATTCCATGGCAGCTGGGACATCTGTGAGCCACACAGCTTCCTGGGAGACACCGGCACCATCTAGACAGAAACAGAGAGTCAGAGAGAGGCAGAAGGTGTTTGGGTACCGAGCAGGAAGCGGCAGCTCTAAATAATGAGGGCATCTCTACTTTTTCTCTTTATACCAAGGTCAAGGAGATCTAGGGGTGCGGTTACCATTCCAAGGCTTTATTTTTTCACTAACGTGGAAGATGACCCCACCTGGTGACCTCTCTCTGAAGGATAAAGGCAGACTTCCCTCTTCTCCACTAGGCAACACAGGTCTTTATCTGGCATTTCCTGGAAAGTTTTCTGGGTTTGGAGGAAAGTACCCAGAGTACTCCCGTGTTCCCTTCCCTTCTCCTAACAACGCTTTCACCCTGTGGTCACCCAAGTGCTTTTTTCTTTTACCTGAGGATTCCTGAACTTCTGCAGCAACCTCTGGGGACAGCTTGCAGGTGAAGAGCAGTAACAGAAACAGGCATCTGGACCGGGCGGCTTCCATTGTTCTCCTGCTCCTGCTCGGAGCCCTGGATGTGGTGTTTTGGGATACTGACGCGGGGCAGCCTGCTCTGTGGTTAATTGGCTGTGGTGTTATTAGTGCTCTGGGAACTTTGCAGCTGGCTCTAGGGGGACCTTCAACTTCTGAGATAAAAGACCAAGTTCAGTGACAGGGCCTCAGAACATAACCAACCAGAAGAAAGTCAGGTCAGTTGATTTAAATAAAAAAAATATATTCTATGCTAGGTATTGACCTAAGCACTAGGAATAAAAAGTTAACTATGATCTGATCCAGCCTCTCTCCCAGCTTAGATTGTTAAAGTGAGAGATGGACAAATAACAGATCACTGAAATATAAAAAGGAAGGTGGTAAAAAAATTGAGAAACTCATAGGGTGCTGTGAGAGTACAGCCTAAGGGCATTCAGGCCAATGGTGAGGTTCAGTGAAGGCTTTCTTCCTGCAAGGGATGCCTAAGTAGGGGCCTGGGTAAATAAAATATCACCAGGTAACAAAGGGGGAGAGTTTCGTGTGAAGAGCCAAAGCCCAGAGATGCTAACGTCACATGTGAGAGCTTTATTAGTAATTGAGTATTACGAAGGGAAGGGAATGGTAAATATGGACAGGAAGGCGTGCTGGGGCCAGATCGCAGGGGGCCTTATACGCTAAGCGCAGGAGCTTCAGTTTTATTTTGTAGGTGATGGAAATCCATTGAAAAATCTTCAGCAGGAGAGAAGCAGTGTCTGCTTTGGCCCACAGATGTTTGCCGAAATCCAAGAGATTCCCACAGGCAGTGGGACATACAGGTCTCAAGCTTAGAAGAAACTTTTATATGATAATACTATAAAATAAAATAAGTTGAGATTTTTCTACCGTTCATATTCTGAATGTTCATTGCCCATCACACTGGAACAAAGGGATCAAACTGTTCCCACTGATGTAGATACCTCCTCTCCTGTGCCCCACCACCACCCCGCTGAGGAAACTTGTGAATGTGAACCATCCAATTACCATATCTGTTCGAAGGAAGAAAGCAGGGAAATGAGGGTCTCAGTCGGATTGTACAACTGTTTTATTTACTCTCTTGTGCTGTTTACAGTGTCTCCCAGAAAAGAAGAACCCCAACTGGCAGGGAATATGATTAGGGACCTTCATTGAGCCAGCAGCAACCACAGAAGAATCTAGGGATCGGAATGAGCTACTGGAACCCAAGGCAAAAGGACTGTTAGTGATAGTTTGCCCATTTCCTGGTCTCTAGTTGCTCAAATGGAAATAAGAGGAGAAAATATTAAATGATTGTGTATTGAGTTGGCGAACTTCAAAGATCTGGCCATGGTGGGGGATCAGATGCAGCGGGCAGGATGAAGCCTGGGTTTTAAGCATCTTGTGCTAGAGACCACTTTGAGAGACAATGTGGGATAAGATGCATCAACAAGAGAATGTGAGGAGCATTGGAGAAGGGACCCAGCTGTGAACAGGGAGGAGGGACAGGGTGGTGAACCCACTGAGAGGATTCTTCCACGGGGCATGGGTAAGGAAAGGGATGGGCAGGTGGACTCATTCTGTCCACTCCTTCTTAATGGACAGGTTCCACTCCCAGGTGAGGTGGTCGTGCTTGTCGTCGTCGGTGAAGAAGGACTTGTTGTGGTAAGTGCCTCGGGCCAGCATGCCCTTGGGAGCCTCCTCAGTTGGAGTCAGGAACTCATACTCCTCTGGCCGAGGCCCGTAGCTACCAACCATAAATGTTGCCTTATCCACTAGGAAGAAAGAAAAGTTCATTCGGGTAAGAGTCTGAGAGAGGAAAAACAAACACTGCAACCTGGAGAATTTGGAGCACAGCTTACAGTGAACAAAGCCAGGAGCAACAGTTTCCAAGTCTGACTAAACATCAGATGTACCTGGGGCATCGTTTTTTTCTTTAAAAATTTTTTTATTGGAGTGCCTTTTAAAAATACAGGTTCTTTTGACCCAGTGTCAGAGACTATGTTTCAGTAGTCTGCTGTGGGTTTTAAGAAATAATGTTTTTAAAAAGCATCAAACTGATTCTGAATATCAGGAAAGTTGGGGAATCAGTGCCCTAAATGGATGGGGATCAAGACTCTTTTATGGAGATGTAGGGATTATACCACAAAAAATCCCAAAGTAGTTGACACCTGAGTTCTGGTCTCAGCTCTGTAGCTACTTAAGTCATATGATATTTTGGGGCTTCTGTTTCTTTCTATATATAATAAACTTCAAGGGTCTTCTATCTACAAACTATCATTCTACGAACATACTAATTAGGGGAGACAAGGTAATATCTGATGATCAGAATGAACAGAATTCATGATTGGAATAATTGGATAAAAGGGGATAATCAATAATTTGGTAAGAAAAAAAAAGAAGTAAATAACTGGGACAAAGGGTTAAAATAGACAACCAAAGATATTAAAAGGTGAATAGTTGGGGCATATATTAAAAATCATAGGGAATTAGAAAGTATAAATACATCTAGGTGGATAGACAGGCAGGCAACACATAGTTGTTAAGTGTTCTGAATAAGTTTGAAGGAACAGCTACAGACACGTCATGGTGACGCAACGTAGTTTCTATGCCCAAAGGAAAATAGGAAACAGAACTATTTTTCATGAGACTAGGTATTGGAAAGACCAATTAAGCTCTTTCAGGTCAACAATCTTCTGTGGAATTTACGTAACTGAGTGGTTTTCCATGTCATGCAATTTTATCGGACAGGTTCTCCCCATCCCTTATTGATCTGCCGGAACTGACTGGTGCATTACTGTGTCACACCTCTGGGGGAAGAGAGCCCTTCAGATAAAAAGGAATTGTAAAAATGCTCCCATCAGCCTTCCACCTTTCATTTCTGCCTGCCCATATTAACGGAAGAAAACTGAACAGTTTCCCCAGGCATGTGGTGTTTAGGTACAACTTGTCAAGAACAATGGTAGGTTAAAGTAATGTTATATTATTGGTTTCAATTCGACAGCTTTTCTCAATTCTAGAAAGAGTATTTTTCTTGTTTCTTTGTTTAGGAAATTGAGTGCTGCCCCACCTCCATCAGCCCCCCACCCCCCGAACCCATGGTGCTACCAACTCCCATCCCAGCAAACGCACGTGCCATTGGATGGGTCTTTCCTGGCCTGGATTTCTCTGACACTCAGGTTTTATATCTCTGAACTACCTTTTTTCTTTACTTCTGAGAGTGCTTTTAGGTACTTTATTTTATTCAAACTTATCTTGGTGACTCTTCCCCTTTATGAGTAATAAAGTTGAATTCTAGAAGCTGAAAGCTGAAGGTTAGCGGCTGACAGTCTAAACTAGGTCTCCTGAATGTAGACCTTGCCATTAATATCTAGGTCAGAGGTATACATGTGCCCTTTTCCCAGGGTGAGCGTCCACAGCTTTTAGCAGATTCTTAAACGAGTCTATGACTAACAGTTGCTGATAACCAGAAGTTTAACTATCAGTAAGAAGCAGAGTTTGGGACAGTGTAGAGCCTGGGTCCCTTACCTTTTACCCCAGTCCGGTAGGTGTGCTGCACATATTTCAGGCCCGACACAATATCCCTGTTCACCTGGAGGTGGGAAGAATCCAAGCAGGTCAGTTTAATGAAGGTCTATCACTTTTCCTCATTTTTCATGCTGACTCTACCTAGCTGAGTCTTCTCTGAGGATGAAAGGACTGAAGATTTAGTTTAGCATAAGTGTTACTGGGGCTGGTCCGGTGGCGCAGTGGTTAAGTTCATGTGCTCCACGTCAGCAGCTTGGGGTTCACTGGTTCAGATCCCGGGTGCAGACCTGGCACTGCTTGGCACACCATGCTGTGGTAGGCATCCCACATATAAAATTGAGGAAGATGGGCACGGATGTTAGCTCAGGGCCAGTCTTCCTCAGCAAAAAGAGGAGGATTGGCAGTGGATGTTAGATCAGGGCTAATCTTCCTCAAAAAACCACCCCCCTAAAGTCCAAACAAAAACAAAAACAAAACAAAAAGCAAACATAAAAATGTGTACTATTATGCTCTAGTGTGGCGGTGAGGCAGAGATTGGAAAGAAGACATCACAAGACTCAACGTTGTCAACCTGGTTTTATCATTGAATACTGTGATTTTTGGTTTGGAGAAGGGAGTATTTAACTAAAACATTGTCTCAATAGTTTTCAGTACATTTCTTCTTTCTCAATGGTCCAAAGAATGCTGTTGAGCTCTCCCTCCCTCATACTACCAGCTAGAAGACTATCCTTGTCTTAGGAAATGTTACAAGGGTACCAATGGAAAATATTATGTAAATAACTGAAAATCCTAACCTCAGAAATGATCCATCTACCATATGAAAAACAAGCAACAAGGAGAAAAGCATTAATGGAAAGTCAAGTTGAGAAGATGGTCGTGGCTGTAAGGTAACTGTGACTGAGTCTGGAGCTGAGGAGATGGGCCACATGAAAACATCCTTCCCTTATGTAAATACTGGGTGAAATCCATTTGTGTCTGGCAAGTATTTCTGATGTCTGTCATTTTCAGATGTTATCTGAGATCTTGCTACTTTCCCAAGCCTCTCAAAGGAAATCTACTAAAACAGAATGAAAATATAGACAGCCCAAGCACTTTGTTTTTCCATGATTCATTTCACCTAGGACTGAACTGGGTTGTCTGTTAATTTTACACAGTGGTCATGTTTATACAAACAAATTAAAGTGGACGTTGCGTCATTAACTGGAGGGCTTGGTTAATTGTTCACCGATATGAAAAATTAAAGCATCTTCTGATAATTTCTCCACAAGAATAATTATGGCTCCCTTTTTGTTTTGGACAGAATAATTAAACCAACCTCTCAATGCTACATTTTGTTTTGTTGGCAATGCGGTAACATAGCAATGAATACTGCCAGCTTAGGTTCTCAGCTGTCACTTAGTAAAATCTGTGGTATAAACCTATCAAAAGCAGACAGAATGAAAACAGAGTCACTGAAAAAATTGTGACAAAATGAAACCCACACTTTCTAATTACTCCCATGTGTGGTTCATAGGGATAAGGAAAATGAATGTATCTTTCTAGAAGTCTCTAAGCTGGTCCCTTGGGCCTATTAGGAGATGTGGTGTCGTGGGAAAATTCCTAAAAACAGGAATGGTGGTGGAGTGGTACTAAGGACTTCAAAACAAAGATCTCCTGTTTTTCTACGGCTGCACTGCGGGTCTACTCAACATAAATATGTTTGAGATGGGTAAAAGAAAAGTATGAATGTTTCTAGTATTCTCTTCCCCTGCTTGCACGCCCCTCCCCATCATCTCTCCCACCGCAAAAGGAAGACGCTTGGTGACATAAATAACAGGGAGATCTATGGAAATCAGATAGACTACACTTCCTTAGGAGGCAGAAGGAAAAGGGGGAGAAACTGGAAGAACCATCTCAAGCCAAGTTTTTATCGAGTATTGTGGAGTGTTGGGAGAGAAAGAGAACGCTGAGAGAAACTAAGATGAAGAGGATGTTAGGATGTGTTGCTGGTGTTGTAAATGGAAACTTTCTTGGATAATTTTTGAATTTAAATTTTGAAGTGATGTTTCTTCTAACTACAGCTTTACGCTGGGACAGGCCACAGGGTGGTTCAACTTTATGTCGGTTACATGTAGAGAGTGATCTTTCTCCTGTTAGACACAAGCTCAAATCTCTGACGTGGATGGGATGTGAAAACCCCTTTCTGTGCCCGCCTCCTCCATCACCCTAGTGTGTCACCATGACTGCTGAGGCCCCATAGCGCCACATTCCTCCCTGGCCTCCCCATTCATAGCAGAAGCCCATGCTCTAGTCCTTCTGATCTTATTCACATCAAACTTTACCTGTCATGTTTCATTTGATAAAAACTGTCTTACTAAATTGACAAGGCAGTAGCATTAATAATTAAAAACTGGGCTGATGTGTAAGCCCTTCCAGGAATATTTGGCTACAACACCTCCCCAAGCTCTCAGGTGCTTTAGTAAAGAGCAGTTCTATAGGAAACAAGGACGTGAACCATAGTTCAGTGCCTATTACAGAGTGGGCATCAACAAATATTTTCAGAATGGAATTATTGGGAGGCATATTTGCATGTGGTGGAGAATGGTTGTCCATGAACCCTGAATCACACCCTGCACCCAGAGGAAAGAAGGGCCTGGTGAGTGAACAGAGAGGGCGGATAGAGGCTTCCTTGGTGAAGCTCAGGCCCTGGAGGATATGACTGAATGTGAATGAGGGGCAACTAAGACAGGTATAAGCAATTAAGGGCAAACAGTGAATTTCTGGCTTACTTATTTTCAGAGTCAAGGTTACTTTTCTCCTCGATTTTGGCTGTTCGTTGGGATATGTCAGTTTATCTGTTTAGTTTTGCTCTTACCTTTTCACCTCCTCCACAACTAAACTGTAATTTTCAGTTATTTACCAAGGACCCCACTCCCTGTATTTATGTAATCATTGAGGAAATACAGCTAAGGCTATGTCTGTCCTATTTTCTTTGCCTGTTAATTGATTTATTCATTTATCTATTTCTCAATAAACATTCACTAAATATCTACCATTTACAGAGTTTTGCATGACACATTTTGAAAGAAGGGATATACAATCTCTCCCTGTCTCAAGGTGCTCAGGCTGAGTAGGGGAGAAATGACACAAATGGTACAATACAGAGTGGTGTGTGCCTCATGGATGGGAGTACCAGGAGTTCACAGAGAGGGGATCCCATTGGCTTAAGTGATCAATGGAGAGTTCAAGGAGAGAGTCCTGGCTGGGAAAAGCAGGAAGTAAGGGTAGGTCTCAACAGGTAGAGCTCAGAGCTGGGAAGAGGACAATTCAGATCCAGGGGAAAAAAGAAACAAACGAAAAATATGCCAACATGATCACATAAGAAATTTGATTTTTTTTTCCTCTTATGATAGGGAGGATCTAAACTTTATAAAAACATACAGGACAAGATACTTACTTTGAAGTGAATTTTGACTCTATATTCAACACCTTCCTTTAGCACAAAAGTTTCTTTTTTGAGGGCTTCAAGATCACCTGTGGAAGTGGATTTAGAAAGAGTTTATTCACCTCAGAAGGAGAAAAACAAAAAGGTGAATGAAGTTTAAGCTCCAGAATCATTTGCTGGGCGCATCAGAGCCACGTGGTCTCTACAGCCCTTGATTTAAAGAATAGTCAAGATGAGCCGCGGCACAAATACACTCTTGAAATCCCTGAAATCTTACAGCTTAGATATGAAAGAAATACAATAGAGCTTTTTCCTCCAAGGTTGATGACAACTCTAAGAGTATGCAAAACATTACCAGTAATGAATTATATTTGAAAATGTCTTTTGTAATTGTCAATAACAAATCAATCATCCTAGAGGAAAGTCTGAACTATCTTTCTATTCTCTGTATTGAAAACGACGCTACAAAAATGTGGTCAAATGAAAAAATGATTAAAGAATATGTTCCTACTGCTCCAATAAGTAAATATAAGAAAAATATATAAGTGTACCAGCTATTTTTTGTAGATTTGGTAATGTTTGTGGTATTTTCCAGCCTTCAAAAATGTACTTGTTTTGGATCCAGGCTATGATCCTTACATTTTGGCTCAGAATAAACTCACCCTAATTTTGATTTATAGGTTGTTTATGGATTATTTGCATTGACGTTTCTTGGCATAGTCACAGCAGGATTTCAGAGAAACCCACTGGAGACCACCTGGAATCTACACTGAACCAGAATTCGGTGCCAATAGGGGCCCACTGAGCTCCTCACCCACCCTGGATCACTGCATTCTTCAGGTGACCCTGGGGAGAAGACCATGACTGCATTCTATTATTTAATATGGTTTACAGATGGGTCTTACTTAAACGATAAGCAAGGATGTTATCAAGCTGGAGATGTTGTCCAGCCTCAAGCATGCCTGCTACTTTCTGTTAACTCTGCTGACCCAGTAAAGACATTTCCTTCTGTAGGCTCAGGAAATCGCTATGGAAGAAAAAAAAATATATAGGTGGCCACAAAACGGCGAAACAATACTTTTGGAAACGCTCTCCCACAGTGGCTCATAAAGCCTATACTTGTGCTGTATGCCCAAAGCATAATCCAGAGAAGCCACTTCCTTGTCACAAGGCCACTTTCCTTTCCTGAGGGACCCTTTGAGGTATGACAATTGGACTTTGTCCAAAAGCCACCATCTCAAGGATGAATCTATCTTGTAATGATCTCAATGTTCTCACATTGTGTTGGGGCTTTTCCTTGTAGAAGAGTGATGGCTTTAGGTAAGTTATTATTGAAAAGAATAATTCCTGATTGAGGCACTCCTACCAAGTTACACAGTGACCAGGGAACTCATTTCACCACACAAATAATTAAATCTATTTGTAATATTTGGCCAATAATGCAGCATTTCCACTACGCTTACCATCCCTGATCCTTAGGATTGGTGGAAAGAACTAACGGCATTCAAAACTCAATTTATAAAGCTTTCAGAAGCATTTACTCTCTCATGGCCAAAAGCTCTTCTGCTAGTGCTCCTTAATCTTAGATCTATAGTTTTTGTAAACATCAGCTGTCTCCTTTTGAAATAATAATACAACAGCCTATGCAATGAGATGAAGAAATATATGAACCAACTTTGCTTAAGGGATGTATTACATTGTTGTCAGGGTATTATTGAGAAGCTTAAGAGAAATGAAAGATTGGTAGCTGATTCTTTCACAGAGAACTCCCAGAACTTAGGGATCGTGGACTACAACCTAGATAATTTATTTATCAAAAGAGACGTCAAATAAATGCAGCCCTGTTGAAAAGGACCACACCAGGATGAGAAGAAGACAGCATCTATTGTAGACAGCTGTCCCAAGACTCTGGACCAGGCCTGTATTCCCAACTTTATATCTCCTCATTTAAACCTTTGTTTTACTTAAACTGTTTACCTATTTTATAATTGTCCCATTTAAGGTTTTGGAATACTATCATACTTAAAGAAAGTGATTAATTTGGAACAGACTGCTCTTGAAGGCCAGGCATTTATTGGGTATCTCCTAATGGAACTCAATGGTTATGCGGAACAAATCGCTGGCCTTGGCTACTGTCTGGATGGTGAAAATACTGCACCCTGAGTTTCCCTTGGATGCAGGGAAGGAGTCACACTGAGCTAACACCTGTTGCTAATCTCCCTCTCTTTAAGGCCAGGTGAGCTGCTTCAGTGTTCCACTGGTATGGCCACCAAGCAGCTATATTTACTCTTTCTTTGGGGCTAAAAGATGTCATTACCACATATGGAAGCACTGACTAAATTTACTCAACAAGCCCTTAATGATGGTCAGGCAGGAATAACCTTATTTAAATACTGAAATGTCTTTAATGAGAAAGACTGTCCTTCAAGACAGAATGGCTTTAGATAGTCTTACTGCATCCCAAGGTGGTACGTATACAACCACTCAAACTGAATGCTGTGCTTTTATTATGTGATGAATTTTCCAGTGTGTCATCTCTGCTAAAGCACATGAAAAAACAGGCGAATGCCTTACATGATCCTACACCCAGTTCGATTTGTTTGGTTGGCTCCCTTCCAGTACTGGTCCCCTTTTTTCAATCTAGATTGCAATTCCTATTTCTATTACTTCTTGGAATTCTTGTACTAGTCATAATATTCAAATTGATTGTTGTTTTCTTTACTCAGTGTTGTAAGAATAGCATACAAACTAGAGTGATGATTGCTTGATGGCTTGAGATGGTCGATCTGTCTTATAACCCTGGACAAATTTCCTTTTCTGATAAGGACTATGTCTAAGAACTCATTTTAAACGAATGTTTTCAAATATGTTGAATTATTATCATTGTTCCTGTACTTATTCTATTATCATATACAATGTAAACATGAAGTATCATGAAAAAGCACATATACAATGTTTGTGCAACAATCTAAAATTAATTGAAAATTATATAACCTATGAAATGCTTCCTCTGTTAATATATATACCTCTATGCCTGTCCACTGTTTCCCCCCAATGTGGAAAACTTGGAAAATAAATGAGATAAAAGCCTAGCACCAAGGGACGTGATGGACCCAGGGCAAGCAGTAACCACCCTGGTGCTGAGGGACAATATTTTGATCATCAATGCTTTCTACTGAAAGATTATAGATCAAAAGGGGAAAATGAAAATGACAAATAGAAATGGCAAGCAGTAGGATACATTGAAGTATATGAGGAAGCCATTTAGGGTAAACCTAATTCGGCCTGACTTTGTTTTTCCAAAAGGGCCTGACACGGCTATTGAGCATGCATTGTATATCTGATTTAAGCATTGGCTATGTCCCAAAGACAAGAACAAATGTCCTTAAGATAAATGTGCAACTTCCCCTACATTGGCATTTCCTTAAGGATAAGGATCTCTACCTAGCTTAGGAACTGATTGCTGTGCTCACCTGTGACCACCCAGATGGAGACAACAGACCTGCCACCCTGCTGTGTCCATCAATTGCTGTGTTGAGAGAGCAGTCTCATGACTATTGTAAAAGGGATATTTCAATCATATGGGAAACATCCTCTTTGTGGGTATATAACCACTCTGTACACCCCACTTCTTTGGTGCCCTTCCTTCCTTGGGGAAGGAAGGCCCTGGGTTATGGGCCTCACATTTTGGCTCAGAATAAACTCACCTAAATTTTCAGAAAAAGAAAAAAAATTACTTGTTTTGGATTCTTTTTATTATTCTAAATAACTCTTCACTTTTGTATTTAATTTTGCATTTGAAATTTCATATTATCTTTCTTAAGGCAAGTCACTTAACTTATAAAAGCTTCAGGCTCCATGAAACTGAGATCTGCCCCTAATTCCTGTCTCCTGGTTAGAAAGGCTGTCATTCTCTGTTGTTTTACCAATGTGATCTTATATAAGCTTGCATTCAGGAGGAGTGTGTGTGTGTCTGAAGCATATGCACAGAACTGGTACCAGCATTCTCTACATATATGAGATTCACCTCATTAGCCTCTTTGCAACAGAAAACCAAATCTGAGTTTTCTGCTGCTGGGAAAATAGACAGAGACCAAGTTTTCCCTGCAATATCATCAAGCCATTCTGAGCAGAACAGATTTCCTGAGGGCTAATTCAGACCTGCTCTTGTGAAATGACAGTTGCACCTGGTAACATTACACAATTTCACACAGGAAGAGGTCTGAGTCCTGGTGAGAGATAGAGAGAGTTTCTCTCCAGGAGAGATGCTAGAATGTGGGGGTAGCTGAATTGGTGTCTCTGCTCTAATGATTTCGGTTGAACAGGAAGTGTGTCTTTTCAGCCTCTGGTTTCCTCCCTTTGACAAAAAAGCCCATATAAGGTAAAGAGTGGATATGTCCTGTGGGAGGGGAACTACCTTGCTACTAAGCCTACTGATCTAGAGTGATGCTTTGCTCTGTCTCATGAGTCCACTTTTTGAATCTGGTAACAAATTTTCCTTTTACTTAAGACCTGCCTTTGATGCCTTCAACCTCGTAGCTCTGTGGTCTTCTCCTCATTTCTCTCAGATGTCCATTTTCCCCATAATATCCACCTTCCCAGCCTCTCCTTATCTCCTCAAGACCTAGTCTCAGGAAAGGACTTGACCCTTGTTGCAATAAAGTGAAACATAATAACAACATCTTAATTTGTGCATCTATATTGGGGGAAGTTGCTTATTTAAAAGATTCAGAGGGGCCTGACTCATGATGTAATAGCTGAGTTCAGAGTACTCTGCTTCAGCGGCCCAGGTTCACAGGATTAGACTCTGGGTGCTGACCTACACCACTCATCAGCCATGCTGTGGCGGCGACCCACATACAAAATAGAGGAAGACTGGCATGGATGTTAAGTCAGGGCTAATCTTCCTCAGGGGAAAAAAAAGAATCAGAGCTTTAAGCTATTAATGAGTATTCAATTAATGGAATTCCTAGCATTATTCAGGAGGTCTTAGATTGCTTCTTGCCTCCCGGTAAGTTCTGTAGCTGATGTAAGATCAATACTTTCTCTGATGTTTAGCAATCTTTTTACATGAATAGTAATTCTCCTGCTATCATGTAGAGATAAAACTCTGAAGTAAATATGATACAAGTAAATGTATCCAGTATTTATACCTGCACTCTCTTCAGTTAAATAGAGACAGAGGTTGGGCTTTTCATTAAACATGGTAAATACCGTGTACTCTGAGAGCAATGATTTGTGAACTGGTCCCAGCATACTTATCTCTGGGATTAACCTTACTAGGGTTTCCTTTTGCTAGGAAAGAGGACAAAGATCAAGTTTTCCCAGTGATAACATTAGGCTCTTCTGAACAGATGTGTCCACTTACCAGTGAGGTCCATGGTGATTGGTCCAGGAGCACTCTCACAAACCAGGGTGAGGCGAGTAACAGTAACGTTGGGGGCTGTTGGGTCTGCAGGATGTAAAAGGAAACGTAAGCACAGGGAAGAGACATGTATGTACAGTGTACGTGTGTGCATTTCAAGTAGGAGAGAGAGAACATAAAAAGAAAAGTGGTATCTGCATCTAGAATAGAAATGGAAGTGGCAGATTCACCATGATTTGCCTTAATGGCCTTATAAATTACAGCAATGCTGTTTCTCATTCAGGCACTTGTAGATCCATCTTAATTCTCAATAGCAAACATTTCCCAAGTGACAATCGGTAAAGTATGCTGCTAATTGGGCACTGCCCATCCATATCTTTGGGCCGTGTCTTAGTCTGCCATTGCGTATGTAGAAGAGATGAATGGTTAGGTAAGGAGGCAGAAGGAGAAGGAGAAGACAAGAAGAAAATGTGAGAGATGAAGAGAAGACAATTTTAAGTGGTAGTCTGGAATTTTTTCTAAATCCTCCCTATGTGTTATCTTTGCCTGTTTCAATGTTGACTTGCACTTTCTTTCCAAAAAGCCTTAATTATGCAGTCCATTGCTTTAGGCAGCATATATAGACTGTGCCTCACTCGCTTAACCCTGGAAGCACTTGGTTCTTTCCTTTGCACCTGCTCCTGAATAGCTGACATGTGTGCCTTCTCTGAGACCCTCCACCTGCTCCCATCCATATACACACACACCTGCTACCACAGGACCATCCCCCAGGAGCGTTTTCTTGTACTTAGTTAGACTTTCATCATCTTTGTCCATCTCCTGTAGCTCTTTCAAGGACTTCTGAGGGGGAGGCTTGTAATTGAGTTTGCCGTCCAGTTCATCATCATCCTCCTCCAGGTGTGGCTCTGGGGCCTTTTCAGTCATTTTGATCTGTTTCAGAGAGAGAGAGAAGATGATAGTCCATTAGCCAAAGGTCAGTGGACATGAAAGATGTTTGTGGGGTTATTATTAGCACCATCTTTGCCCTGGTGGACTTCTGTAATTATCAGTGATTTTTCAGGAGATTTTCCCCTAATTCCACCTCAATGTATTTCATAAAATAAGAATATAATTCATTCCAGTCTTTTCTCTGACCTGCCTGAATTTTTGCACACTGTGATGAGCATCTATTTACTGGATAAAACTGACAAAAAAGAAGTAACTCATTTGTGAACTATACACTACAAACGGAGCAACATAGCACAAGCAGTCTTCAATAAGGAGCAAATAGCCCCAGTTCAAATCGTTAAAGAAATTATCACTGTCCTTCAAACCCAGCCTGCCTTGCTAGTATCAACACTCTCAGCACATACCGTCTCAGTTGTGAGGGTGTCAAGAGACTGGTGGAATACTTGCCAAAGAAAGTTGACTTTTTCCCATTCATTGAATCTTGCCGTGAACTCCTGCAATACCTCAGTGGTAACTTGTGAGAAGTTGTAGGCCCCTGTGATACCTCCCCGAAATGTCTGAATGTTTTCTACCCAATATTACTAATAATTCCTTGAGAGCAGCTACTAAGTTTTGTGTTTCTCTTGAATCTCCCATAACGCTTGAATAGTTCAGGCATTTTCTAAACATTCGTTGATTGATTTATTAGGTTCTATATCTAAAGATCTTCTGTTCTTTTGAAATGACACAAAATAGCAAAGGACTCTAAATTTCTCTAGACAAAGTAGTAACTATGTCTGTAGTACCCTTCCATCAATCTCCTCTTTCTGGACCTACCTCCCTTTTAGTACCTCCCTCCTTGGCCCAGATTTCCAGTGACCTTATGCTCTAAGACCTCACTTGGGCGTACCTGGAGTCTGTCTTCTTCCACGATCATCTACATTTACTTGTTTTATATTAAAACATTGAGGGGAGATCTAATAAAATTATTCACACTTAAGTGTTAAAGACAGAATAATAGGTTTAGAAATTATTCCTCTTTGGGCATGTATAGTCAGAGCTTTTCAGAGCTGAAATAATCCTTAGATGTGATATATTCTGACCCCTAATTTATCACTGAGAAAATTGAAACCCAGAGGTTAAGAGAATTGCCCAAGTTCACATAGCTGGATGAGAGGCAGTCTCATAATAAAGAGAAAGAAATCTCTATTGGAAGAATTTCAGGCCCCATGGCTGGCAGCAATGGACCTATTTTTGGAAACAAGGGAGATATTTGGACAAGGAGATAATTTCCTGATTTCCTTCAGTTCTACCCTGAGGGTAACCCCCTTCCTGGCCTGTGAGTAAAGCCTTCATTGCTCCCAACAGGCACAACTATAAGACAGTATCTCTCACATCTCATCCTCAGTCACTCTGCAAACCTTTATAAAGTCCCCTGAGAGTGAAGCTATCTCTGGCCAAAATCAGTTGTGGTTTTAACTTTCGATGTCACTATCATTGGCAAGAAGAAGAAAAATAATTTGGAAATGAAGTCAACCAAAAGCAATTTTAACAGAAAAAAATACAGAAAACAAGAGAAAAGTAAAAGAAATACCTCTTGGCTCATTAATCTTCCTCCAGCAACTTAACAAGCCAAACACTACGAGCCTTCATTAGCTCTAAAAACAGCCGTGCAATGCCCAGGTCCACTTCCTGTGCAGGAAGGAAACATGTAGGCCTGTTCCTATGGCAACTCTTGCTTCAGCTGAAGAACCAGCACCACTCAAAGCTGAGCCTCTAGAGAACAGTACCATGAACTCGTGACAAACTCAACTCGTATTGCAAGCAATACTCAGGGAAAGTGGATGAGCTGGTTGGAAAAATAATGAAAGGTGCAGTGGGTGGAAGCTATAGGTTGTGGGTAGTTTAAGGACAATCATTAAGAGGCAGATGAAGAGCGACCCAGATAAGACTAATCAGATGAGACAGGTTCTCCTCTGGTGACACCCAGGAGCCTGACTAGATACTCAGGGTGAAGGTCACATAAGAAACCTGTGGACAGAGCATCAGGAAGGCTGACTACAGATGAGGACATCTCAATTCCCATGAACAGAACTTTCTGGAATATATCCCTTGGTTCTAACGTGTCGTCTGCTTAAAGTTTGATCATCAGATGGTAACATCACACCCAACCACTAACTAGCTCAAGTTGATTTCAATAACCTGCAGGGAATTGTAATTCTATACTTAAATCTCAATTTTTAAAGGAGAATGAGAGATTGAGAGAGGCAGAGAAAGATCCAGTCTAGGACGGGATTTGCTAACCTCTAACAGTGTGATCACTGGCAAATTAATTTATCTGTCATCTGGATTTTGATCTTCTCATTAGTAAATCTGAGACTTACGTCAGTTCTAAATTTCATTGATTCATTGCAAACAGATATGATAATTGCTCCATGAAAATGAGACACAAATTTATTTAAAGACATTAAACAGTAGGGCATTTACTATGTGGGATTACTATATAAAATTGTGGCAGTCAAGAATAGGAAATTCAGGACCACATGAAAATAATTTGGTCTGACGAGATGGCATAAGAAAAACAGAGATATGAGGCCAGACGACCCAAAATCAGCTCAGTCTTGAAAGCTGCTTAGAAAAAGATGAAAATGTGATAAAATGGAAAATAAAGGACTGGAAAAGCAGTTTTCAGGGAAAGCCCTTTTAAAGCAAAGTTAAGGTCACAAATATTTGGTGAGCACCTACTGTTTACAAGGAACTGTGCTTTAGCACATAGTGGTGTTTTAAGTTACCCCAAAGTGGAGAATGCAGTGGAAGATGGGCAATCTAACCACACTAAAAAGGCCCAGCTGGTTTGATTGATGGTTCTTAATCCTTTTTGAAGATTACAGGTCTCAAAATATCTGGTGAGGGGCCTGCCCAATGTCACAGCGGTTAAGTTCGTGCGTTATTCTTTGTCGGCCCGGGGTTCGCTGCTTATTAAACCACACTGTGGCAGGCGTCCCACATATAAAGTAGAGGAAAATGGGCACAGATGTTAGCTCAGGGCCAATCTTCCTCAGCAAAAAGAGGAGGATTGGTAGCGGATGTTAGCTCAGGGCTAATCTTCCTCAAAAACAGAAAAAAATCTAGTGAAAGTCATGGTCTTTATAAAAGGGAAAAAGGAATAAGCCCACAAAACTGTACATGCAGTCTAGGGGTTCATGGACCCCTGAGGTCCTTCATGGACTTTACTGGAGTCCAAGCTTAGGAACATGGCCTTGAAACTGTCACTGTTGGAAACGTAAAGCAGAGAGTTGAGTGTTAAGGGGAAAGCTTGCTTGGCTCCAAGGCCTGGCCAGATCGATGACACAACTTAGCCTCAAGCTAAGGATCATGACTATGCACCCAAAATGCCAGATATGTAGAAACAGGAGGAGATATCAGGTAACATCTGTATCTGAGGGAGCGTGACCACAAAGCCTGGCAGAGGAGCAGAGGTGCACAGGGAGCAGCGACTCAGGAGGAGTTCTGTGTCAATCTACCTGATTTTGGATAATGATCTCTTCACTGAACTAGGCCTCATCATGCATGGGTTTGGGTTGTGGCTTAGCTAGTAACTGGCGATGACCCCCTGAGCAAATATTTCCACCGCTGTGGATCTTACTTTCCTCATCTCAGGAGGTGAGGGCTCGAGCAGACTATCTCTATCTGCGTGTTTCTCCTGACCTGCAGTCATGGGTCAGTTAAGTTGCCATTCAGATACGTTATTTCAACAGTTTATACAAGAGACTATCTCCATCTTAATTATTTCAAATTTATCTGAATTCCCAAAAGATGCTGCATTTTTAATTTCACATTTCATCCATGAGGAACCTCAGATTCTTCCAAAGCCCCAGCCATAAATAGTTTATATAGTTTGACAATGACTTCCCAAGTTATATTTAGCCACAAATGTCAATTTTCTCTTTTAATTTTCCCATTTTATGGGAAACTGAGAATGGGAATATTAGGAAAATTCTACAGGCTACTTTCTAATCTCATCATCTAAAGGACTACTGGCTTACTATTGATGATAATAGTTAGAATAGTTACCATACATAGTGCTGCATGCTTTCATGAGGATTATCTCATTTAGTCCTCACTACAACCTTAAGGGCAGACATTATCAGCATTCTCTTCTACAGATCAGGAAACTAAAGCTCAAGTAAATAACTTGCCCAAGAAGACATATTGCGTAAGGAGCAGAATTAATGTCTGAGCCTAGGTTATCTGACTTCTAGGCACTGCTCTCTGTTGCTTCAGCTGTCTTTATTAAGTAGTAATGAAATTATAGAGTTCGTTTGTTATTGGGGAATATATCCAGGGGTGCACAGGCAGAAGTAAAGGCTTCTTTGCAACACTCTTCAGGGACGGCTTGAGCAAAGTGAGGAAGTGTCACATGAAGAGAGTTTCAGTGCAACTCTACCTTGTGTCACTTTGCGCAAGTCACTGACTGTCTCTGCACTCCAGTTTCGTCCTCTGCAAAATGAAATTGTTTCATTAGAAGACCTCAGAGGCTCCTTCTTAATTCAATGACTCTAATGCTCCTTAATGTAAAGAAGGCTGTGAAATGAGAAAGGAAAAGAGGAAGTGGAGGTGGGTTGGGGAGAACACAGCCAGTCAGCACAGAACATTCTGGTTGGTCTTTTCTCACCTTCCTGTGCACTTTGCCCGCTGTTCCATGAGCAGGGTTGTTTTGCTTGTTTGTTTGTATGTTGTTTTTGACTTTGGTTCTTTACACAGGAAAAGTGAGATGGAGAATTAGCAATTATATACTTAACGAGATTAATGTGGACTCTCTTGGGCCCTAAAGCACATATCGCTTTTTTTCAAGTGCTTACTACTCCAGTTATCTCTATTTTCTGCTTCACAGATGCCTACACAGATGAATTTTCACAGGGGAGCCCTCACGCCCCTATGTCTGCTCTTCAGCGAAACAATGTCAAGGATTAGATGTGCTGAGGTGGGGCCTTAATCTTCTTTTGCTCAATTAAAATGCCAAATTAAATTAAGTTGGTTGCTCATGGCATGAGTATGACATAGCACAAATCGGTGTTTTTGCTTGCAATTTCAGTGAAATTTCCAAGACACTGAAAGTGAATTACGCTTAAGAATTTACGCCAATCTCAGGATAGAGCACACGTGTCTGATTCATTCATGCAGATCCAAATAAGTTGAAGGCAAGAAAAGGTGAAACTCTTGAGTTTAGATGAAACCGATCACCTGGTTAATTCAGAGAAAGATGATCTTTATTCCCACTGGAATGTGGTCTTGGAGTTTGATGGATTAGAGATTCAAAATGTGGCTCTGCAACTGACTTATTACAGAACTTAGGCAAGTTTCTAACACCGCTGAGCCCAAGATTTTCCATCAGTAGTGTGGGAATATCAATCTTTCTATGCGGGGTTGAAGAGTTGGAGAGACATATGGAAAGTTCTAGAACTATAATGACCATTAGTAGATGTTCAGTAACTATCTATTCCCTTCCTCTCCTCCCTTCCCCGTGAAGCTGTGTTGTTGCACAGCTTCAGCGAAGCGAAGTGGCTGACTCCTTAGGCACCAAATGCTTTCTCTCGGTTCTTCTGTGTTGACAACGTCCATTCCTTCCTCCTTAAAAATAGATTTTGTTTCTTGGAGGAGTACGGAAGAGACAAGGAGTTCTGGGAATTGCAATGATTGTTTATGAACTGAATCAGTCTTAAAATGGAATTGTCACTAATATTTCTTTAAAAAACTTCCTCATGAACAATTTAATTTTAGATTCTATTTATTGCTCTCTTTCATAATTGAAGCCAGAGGTCACTGTGTGAATGATGAGAAAAGATACAAGACACAAGCACAGCGAATGGAGAGAATTGCTGTGGAGCAAAATGCTGTGGAGACTTAACTCACGTCCCAAAGTCACCAGATCGTGCAGCTAGATGCACAGGCCATGAATATGAGATAGAGGAGGAGGAGACGAGGGAGAGAGAGAGAGAAATGTGGAAGTACCAGAAGTAGGGGATTTCCATCAGAGAAGTACCTATGAAAGCATCAGCATTCTCTGTCACCTCTGTTATCTCCACACCCCATTGACCAGGATATGTCCTACTTTCCCCAAATCTGGAGTTGCAGCTCTGCAGCAGGTCATGGAGAGTTGGGTCATCTCTGAAAGACTGCCGACATTTCAGAGATACTCAAGGATTTGAGTCTGCTTTGCTGCCTGCCTGATGATTTGGTTCATTTAGGGAATCCAGGTTTATCCCACGGGACACCAGAAGCTGTCTCAGTCCTGGAGTCCTCCATGGTGTCTCAGTATTCCCTAGCAACATGGAGGAACTGGTGCTTCCTGGGATCCTCACGGCTGTTTTCTACCATCTCTGCCCCATTAAGAAAACTGACACTGTGGTCGGTCCATGGTCGAGTGGTTAATTTTTCATGCTCTGATTCAGTGGCCTGGGGTTTTGGATCCTGGACACGGACCTAGCACTGCTCATCAGGCCATGCTGAGGCAGCACCGCACATACCAGAGCCAGAAGGACCTACAACTAGAATATACAACTATGTACTGAGGGGCCTCGGGAAGAAAAAGAAAAATGTCTAACACTGCAAAGCTGAGTGAGAAGAATCAACCGAGTGCCTGGGAGGAAATGTCTTCTTAGATACGATAAACACTAAAACCAATCCAGAGGAGGATACAAATTACTAGAAGCAGAATTCTTTAGTATTCCCCTTCGTGAGAGAAACAATATATTATTTCTTATCTGTGCATTCATAGTATACTCTAACCCAGGTTCATATGCAAAAGATCGAGAACTCAATTCATTAAACTTTTCTGAGCGTCCACCATGTGAAGTCATAGTGCTAGGTGCTTTAACAAATATTTATTTTAAATCATTCTCAAAGAAACATGCATTTAAAGAAGCCATTATTAAGCAAAAGACAGGACAGCAATAACTCGATACATTCACAGAGGATTTAAATTAAGCATGAAAAATTAGAAGTAAAGCCAATTTTTATGACTTCTTGTGCTTAGACTATCAGCCCCTTAAAGAAAATTCATGTGAATTTTTACCAGCTTTGGCTGTGGAAGCCAGAGTGTGTGGACACCAGCACAGAATGACTGACTAATTGTTTATTGAATGGATAAATGTTGTTGAAGTTCCAGGAGCAATACGAGACCCACCTCTGGCTGTGCCAGTGTGGACTCTAATCGAGGATCCTGGGCAGTGATAACACCGACCCAGGGACAAGGATGCTCAGAATGTGAGATTAAAGAAAATTTCTTCCATGGGACATTTCCTAAAATGTTGTTCTGAGGCATTGTACCTGTGGGTTCTTTTCCATACCAGGATGACTTTAGTCAAGCCATTTAACATTTCCGAGGCTTGCTTTCCTCCCTGTGTCCACTCAGGATTCAAATTTGAGTTTCTAACGCTAGGCCTGACACATAGAAGGCTCTCCACATATGTTGGCTTTCTTTTTCTATCTGCTTAATTTCTCCTTCCCAGGGCTGGCTGAAGTTTGTAACATATTGTGCTCCCATAAATTGGCCCAGGCCCTCGCCTTTCCGTCAGAATGACTTTGCCCTTGCTGAATTTCCACTGAAAACAGAACCTTGATGTTGCTTGGAGTATACTTCCCTAGGGACAAACTTATATTCTTCCAAGCAAGGGAGGACCAAATTCCAGTGCCTGGGAGATGTCAGCTAGTTTTTGTGAAGCTGTAACGTGGTTACTCCACATGTGCTGGATCTGTGCAGCGTGGATGGAGAATGAACTGTTCTCTCAGAATTCCACACCTCTCATAAAAGACTAAGATGATCTTGTTACTATGCTTGTGTCATATCTGAATTTGGGAGGGAGATTTTCTTTTAAATTTAATAAAAGAAAGCCATGGCAAAGATGAATGATGCCTGCCTGTGACTGAGCCCCGCTGTGGCCAACACAGACCTCTTGATTTCCCTGGCTTGATCATCCAACATGCTAATGCTGATTTCAGTGGTTCTTGGTCTCTATGAGAAGGGGTGACAATGGAACGTCCCTGTGAGAGTAGTCTGCCTTCCCTCACCTTGAATAGGTGAACAGCTCAGGGTTTATCTGACCCACGGCACAAGTTACCCTAGGTCTAGAGTTTAATTACAATGCTTATAAAACATGCTGACTTGGACATCCTCTAAAAGGAAGAAGGTATTTCAGGTCATGCTTAAAGCACTTCTAATGGCGGCCAATGACCTTGACAATTCGAAGGCCCACTGCCAGGAATCCTAGCTGGGCCCACTTGGATTTTTCTAGAACCTATCTCCTAATAAATTATTTGATGTCTTCCTTGCTGGCTTTTCGTTCTCTCAGGTGTCAGAGCTATTCTTTGGCAACAACAGCAATTATCTGTCTGCCCATCTCACCCCGGGAATTCAATACATGGTTTTTGTTAGTGGTAAAAATTCTATCCCTGTACGACTGATGAGTAAATAACAACGCCTTCTACTGTACTTCCCCCTTGATGGTTAAACCCTATTGTACTCAGAGGGAGGCTATCATTATGCATTTCTCTTATATCACCAGAACATTCTTTAGTGTCAAACAGTTTAATGTTCGACACTAAACATTAGGGTCATTTTTTTGAACCACTTTTTTTCTTTTCACCCAGTCTCTTTAAGTCTACTTAAAAACAGGAAACCGCACATCTCCACCCCAGCCCTAACCCACCATCCACCAACACGTTCGCATCAGTTTAGAGCTACAGTCTTTTTGCTTCTGAGGTTGGCCAGATGCCTGCTCCTACCTTGTAGGAAAGCCCTCCAGGCACTCTCCAGTGATTGTACTCAGCCGGTTCTCCAGGATATTCAAGATTTCATCTCCCAGGCTGCAGTGCACACCCTCTCCTCCCTGCCCTGACTCATTGCCACCGTTCCCAGCTCTGACTTCCCCTTCTATGCAGGACTGTCTCTGCAGCCTCCTTAGTACTTTCTTATCATAAAGTTTGTTTTAAACAAGAACCACTCTCGGAAAAAAAATGAACTTTGAGAGCCGTAGCCCAGTTTAGAGATTTCCCACATTTCTCTGTGCCCACCCACAGCCTGCCTCCCCCAGTGGTATTTCAACTTACATTCAGTGGTTCACGTCTCTGTCTTGGGTGCCTCTGTCTCTCAACTCTGACTTCTGAGTAGTCAGGCAGTTAGAACAGGAAGGAAGTTAGTGAGAAAAAAAAAAATGTTCTAAACCTACTAGAAGAGGAAACCCGGGGCTGTCTCAAATCCTGTTCCTCTGCACTGCCTATCTCTTTATCAGCCAGCTCTGAGCAGCAGTCTTGTCAATTAATGGCACATGTGGGAGCACGATTGCCCATGTGAACATGGATACGCGTGAGTGTTCGCGCAAGGGTATAGTGCCTATAGCCTTGAGTGATATGAATAATTTTGCGGATATGTCTAAAAATCAAGTCATTTCAGTGCATAAGCCTGCTGAGGCAGGGAGTTAAACCCAGTAGCAGTAAATTCACATAGGCTTTACATCACTAACTTCTGTTCCCTCAGGGACCCTGCCAGCTTCTTCATCAGCCAGATATGTTGAAAGTTTGCTGGCATCGAATGCAGGGTGCTAAAAAATTGTAAATGTTAACTGCATATATATTTGGTCTTAAATTTAAAAAATTGTCCTCAAACAAATTTTTAGAGTTTTGTTGGTCCTAATTTCAAGATGTAGCTTTGTATTGCGGCATAAACAATAAAATGTTATTTGTTGTAGTTTTTGTTAATTTTTCATTTAAATTAGAAAAAAACTCCAAAGCATTGCTTTTGATTAGACCTCGGCATGCAGATTATAAGATAAAGTAAGACTTCATTAATTCAGTCTTCTAACTCGGAATTTCTGATTGTAACAAGTGCTAAAACTGGCATTGTATCGTATTTGAGGAAATGGTTTATGAAGTAATTTAAATGGGAACAAGTTGCAGGGGCCATATTTAAACCATTTGAGGGAACCAACAGATTTTAAAGCACCCAAGCCACAGTTACTCTATACATTTCCATAGCTGCTGCCAGTAATAAATGCTTAATTATACTGAGACTGACTTTTCTTTTTCCTCTTTTCTTTTATATATATGACACATTGAACTGCATTCTGCAGAATTTTATAGCCTTGGCATAAAGTTCATTTCTTAATTCAACAAACCTGTAATAATTCCCAGTTACGTACCAGAACTTGTGCACTGGTACAGAGATAAACAAGACACAGCCCTAGACCTCAAGTCGCTGACAGTATAGTGGGGGAAGACAGAAATAAACATATTTAAAAACTTTTGTGAGCTTAGGAAAACAAATATATGTGGGCTATTACGAGAGCACTAAGTAGAGATATCAAGGAAGGTTTCTTGGAAGAGGTGACTACAGCACTCAGTCGGGAAGGATAATTGGTACTGGCTAGTTGATATGGGGAGGGTTAGAAGTGGAGGAGAAGGCATTTGAGGTAAAGGGGAAGCATGAGCAAAGGCATGACATCCTAAAATGGTGTGGTATGTGCAGGGAATTATAAAGAAGCAGCTCAAGGTTGCTAGACTGCAAAGGGCTCATTACATAAGGATGAGAAATGTGCCTGGAGGGGGCAGGCACGGGGTCCAGACCTCAGGAGACCTCTTGTGCTATGTAAATAAGGAAATTGGCCTTGATTCTGTGAGTGATGGAGAGCCAGTAAAGGAGGGACGTGATCTGTTTTGCGTTCTACTCTGGTAGCTGTGTGGATGGATTTGATGGGAACAACGCCAGTTTGGAAATTCTTTAGGCCTGAAATAGAGTGCCCGTAATAGAAATGGACAGAGGCGGTCAGATTCAAGAAATATTTAGATGAACTTGGCATGACTTGGTGATTGATAGGATGTAAAGGATGAGGGTGAGGAAGAGTGAGGAATCACAGGTGACTTTTGGGTTTCTTGCTAGCATGGCTAGGTCCTTGGCAGTACCGCCAAATGAGAGAGAATACGAAAGAAGAAGGCAATGTATTGGGAGAGATAATGACTTGAGTTTGGATATGTTGAGTGCTTAGTTTAAAAAAAGTGCATCATTTCTAGGAGGTGATTTCTGACAGAGAGTAAGATATATAAGCCTGGATTTCAACCCCAAACTAAAGATTTATATTTCATCAGGCTATGGATTGTAGTTTAAATTTGTGTAGTTTAAACCATGCAGGTTACCCAAAGCATGGTCTGTGGGCCAGCAGATTGGCACCACTCAGGAATTTGTTAGAAATGCAAATTCTTAGGCTCAACTCCAAACCTACTATATTAGAATCTCTAGGGTTGGAGTCAGGAATCTATGTTTTAAAACATTCTGCAGGTAAGTTGTGAAGTTTGAGAAACACTGGTTTAAACCATATCACCAAGAGAGAAGTTGGCCAAGCATGGGGAAGTCCTGTTTTATGAAAGCTCTACTTTTGATTTGTAACCTGCTGACTGCATCTCATCTCCTCCTCTGCTAGCATCCCAGTCCCACCATTGTTGAGCCTCCACTGGACTGTTACAACAGCCTCCTTTGTGTTTCCCACTTCCACAGTAGCCTCTCTAAAACTTCCTTCTCCTCGCAGTAGTCAACACAAAAAGCATACTCATGATCACATCATTCCTTCTCTCTCAAACTTCTGCAGACCTTTCATCCATTTACAATAGAATCGAAGTAGTACCATGGCCTGCAGGTTTGCTCGTGGTGGTAACCAGCCACCAAGACAGTTCCCGGTGATCCTGGTATTCAGCCCTGATTACATTGTATCAGGGTTGGTTTGTGTGACCGACAACAAACAGCGGTCATGATGCTATGTCACCTCTGAGGCTATGTTATAAAAGACACTGTGCCTTCTCTCTTGATCTTTCTTAGGTCACTCATTCTTGGGAAGCTAGGTGCCATGTCATGAGGATACTCAAGCTCCCTGTGGAGAGGTCTACATGGGGAGAAACCGAGGCATTGTGCTAACAGCCATGTGGGTGAGCTATGTTGGAAGCGAATCCTCAGCTGACAGCTCGACTGCAACTTCATGGAAGACTGAGCAGGAACCACCCAGCAAAGCCGCTCCTGGACAGACCCTCAGAAACGTGGGAGATAGCAAATGTTTACTGTTATAAACTGCCACGTCTGGGGGTAATTTTTATGTTGTTATTAGATAACTAATACACTCATGAGCTGGCCCCTTGTACCACGCCAAACTCATCTGCTGACACTTAGCCTCTATTCTATTTGGGTACCTGCTTCCTTGCCAATCCTGGCATGAGAAGCAGGTTCCCATTTCAGGGGTTCTTCTTGCTGCAGGAATGCCCCTCCCCCAGATATCTATACCTGAGTCATTTCCTCACCGTGGTTTTAATTTGCATTTCCCTGATGGACAGGTACAACGAACATCTTGTTATGTGTTTATTTGCCGTCTGTAGCTCCTCTTCAGTGAAGTGTTCATTTGAGTTTTTGTCCATTTTCTAGTTGGATTGTTTGCCTTTTGGATATTGAGTTTTGAGAGTTCTTCATGTATTCTAGATATGAATCTCTTGTTGGGTATGTGATTTGCAAATATTTGATTTCTCTAGTCAGCATTTTATAGTTTTTATCATACAAATCCTGTGCATGTTTTATTAGATTTACTCCTAGATCTTTCATTTTCTTTAGAGCAATTATAAATGGCATTACTTATTTTATTCCAGTTTTCACTTGTTTTCTACAAATGCAATTGATATTTGTGTATTGATCTAGTATCCTTCAACTTTGTTGAACTCACTTATTAGTTATAGGAAGGATTTTATATGTCCTCAGAATTTTCTGTGTCAACAATCATGTCATCTGTAAATAAAAACAGTTTTATTTCTTCATTTCCGTCTGTATGCTTTCTATTCTTTTCATCCCTGATTGAATTAGCCAGAACTTGTAACACCATGTTGAATAAGAGTAATGAGAGCAGGTCTCTTTGACTTGTTTCCGCTCTTAGAGAGAAAGCGTTCAGTCTTTCACAGTTAAGTGCAATGTTAACTGTAGATTTTTTGGAGGTGCTCTTTGTGAGCTCCCCTCTATTTCCAGTTTGCTGAGAGCTTTTATTGTAAATGGGTGCTGAATTTTGTCAAATGCATTTTCTGCATTAATTGGTACATAATTGTTCTTGATTTAGTGCATTACATTGATTCAGTTTTGAATATTAAACAAGTCTTGCATATAATGGAATAAATACCACTTGGTCATGATGTATTATTATTTTTATACATTGCTGTATTTGATTTGCTAATATTTTATTAAGAATTTTTACATCTAAATTCATGACAGATATTGGTCAGTATTTTTTATTTTTTACTGTCTTTGGTTTTGGTTGAAAACAATTTCATAGGGGTAAAACTGGCCTCATGAAATGAGTTAGGAAGTGTTCCTTGCTCTCTATTTTCTGAAAGAGAATGTTGTGTTTTTAAGTAATGTTATTTTTTCAAGATTAACAACAATGTGCTGGAGAATCCGTAAACATAGTAGGATATTAAGGGAAAGAAGGACCAACTTTGCACATTCCTCCTTCACAATTAGCGTGTTCCTCTCTGGAGTCCACTGTGTATTTGTCGCTCAGTCTACGAGACTCCTAGTGTGGAGGAAATGTGAATCTGATGTGTGTCTTCCTACTCACTGGCACTTTAAGAAACACAAAAGAAAGATTAGAGATTAGCTCCTGTGTAAGAAGCTTATGCGACAGCTAAAATTTTAATTACTTTCTAACTACTTAACATCTGCCCTTTAACTCCTTTTCTGTATATAATTAATAATGCTTTCCTATCTGTCCAAAGGCATCAAGAATCAAGGATTGTAGAACTATAGAATATAGATTTTTTAAAAGCATTTTATGATATTCAGTCTTAAAATTTGTGTACAGTAAAACTCACTCTCTGTAATGCACAGTTCTCTGAGTTTTGACAAACGCGTAGAGTTGTATATCCACCACTACAATCAAGATATCAGATAGTTCCATCACCCTTCAAAGATCTCTTGCATTTTCTGTTTATAGTCAGCGCCTCCCCTCAATCCCTGGCAACCAATGATCTGTTCTCCAAGTCCGTAGTTTTGGCTTTTCCAAAATATCATACATAAAATCAGACAACATAGAGACTTTTGGCTCTAGATTCTTTCGTATGGAAAATGTGTTTACTATATGAAAGAATCATCTTTGTCCATATGTACATAGTCATCTATGTCATTACATATTTTTATCAATTTCTTTCCTATTTTTTTTCCCTGCAAGTTTCCTGCTGGCTTTATTTCTTGTGTCTGTGAAATCTTAGAGTGTCCAACACACCCAACTTCTTTTAGAGGAATTCTTTGGTCATCGTCACCTTGTTTAGAGCCATGTGAACCCATTAGCTGGCTGCTAAGATCATAGACAGACAACTGAACAAAAGTCGGTCGTCACTAGTCTAGCCAATGACCAATGAAGTGATGCAGTACAAGAACTCTGTCCAAGAGAGGCTGTGTGTGTTGACTGCTGATTGGCCAGTCTGTCCAAATCCTTTAAGACTCAGTGGCAGCAGGAATAGTAGAGGCAGAGATAGAAAGAGCAGCCACTTGGAACGGGGAACAATGGAAGCATTCCATGAAGACACAAGACAATCAGATCTTTAGATCTTCACAGTTTCTTGAACAATGTGTCATTCTCCACAAAGCCTTGCTGAGGGTCATTGAGTTCCCTGTCTTCCCCTTGTATCCCATATTTTTGCTATTTTCATTGTTCTCTCTTTCTAGATGTTCAAAAATTTCTTCTTTTATTTGTTTCAAGAATTTCTTTTATCATTCTTTTAGGGTAGGACTTCTGGTGACAGATTCTCTTAGTATTCCTTTGTCTGAGGATGTCTTTATTTCCCCTTCATTCCTGAAGGGTAAATTCACTTGCTACAGGATTCAGAGTTGACAATTATTTTCTTTCAGGACTTGAAAATTTTGTGCCACTTCCCCCATGGTTTCTGATAAGAAATCCTCTGTCATTCAAGTTGTTTTCCCTCTGTAGGCAAGATGGTATCTCTTTTTAACTGCTTCCAAAATTTTTGCTTTGTCTTTCTTTTTCTGGTTTGGTTATGATGTATTTTGGCAGAGATTTTCTTGGGTTTATACCATTGGGTATTGGTAGCTTCGTGACACCATAGATAGGCTTACGTCTTTCACCAAATTTTGGAAATTTTCAGCTATTATTTCTTCAAGTACTTTTTCAGCCTCAACCTTTTCTCCTCTCTTTCTGGAACTCTGATGACATGAATGTTAGAGATTTTAGTTTCGCAGATCACTGAGGTTCTATTAATTTTTCTGGTCTATTTTCTCTTTTGTTCAGATAAGAAAATTTGTATTGTTCTGTCTTTAAGTTCACTGAGTTTTTTCTCTGTCCTTTCCATTGTGTTGTTGAGCACATCCATTGAGTCGTTTATGTTGGTTATTGTATTTTTCAGTTCTAAAATTTTCATTTCATTCTTCTTTAGATACATTGTTATTGCAGAATGGTAGTGAAAAGTCAGGTTGCTTACTGGGGCTCCCCTGACATCACTCTAATAGGGAGGAGGAGGGGTGAATATTATCGCTGGTTGGAGATGAAAGTTCACCCATGAGGCCTTCTCTGATACTACCCGAGGTGGGGGTAGGGTTACCTTATTATAGCTGGGCCAAGATGGAAATCTCCCTACTCAGCCTTTGCTGATGGAGTTGAGGTTGACCATATTTTTTCCATGATGATTGACTGGAGTAGGGTTTTTTTTGTTGCTTAAATGGTTTCTGCCTTACTGGATTTCATCTTCCTGGTCATTTGTCTAGAGAGAACAGGCTTTTTGAGAGGCTTTTTTTGTCTGCTTCTGTTGGTGTTTCTGGGTTGCTGTCCTGCATGCACTTCAGGATATACAAAGCAAAAAGAAAACAGGGAAACTTATTACCATGTTGTTTCTTGAGTCCTAAGTTCCCTATTTGGTCTCCTTTCTTCTCTTGACTTCCTAAAATATTCTTATGCTTGCTTCATGTATAATATCCAGGATTTTTAGCTGTATTTAGCAGGAAGCATGGGAAGAAGTATGTCTACTCCATGTTGGTCCAGAACTGGCAAGAACATAAACTTTTAAGTCTGTAAAGCAATTTAAGAATTTTCTAATCCTAAACCCTTGAGAGCTGTATTAGAATCACATTGGGAGAGTCTTTTCAAATTATATACTTGGCCTTTCCACACCCGCTTCCCCCCTCACTCTCCACTCTCCTAAGTCTCCCACGGAGGGAGAAGAGTTGTGGCATAGCAGCCCTCCCCTGCTGCCCTCAACATTGAGAATCACTGGGTTACAAACCCTGTCACTGATGAATGTGGTTTCTCTCTCTCAAGTGTGTTGGGACGGAAAACAATTGAGAACCCTGGCATGCTAAATCGTTCATGTTGTATATGGGGAAACTGAGACTCAAAGAGGTGGCAATCTTCTCACATAGCAGACTTGTGGTCAAACCAAGCCTACGCATGGGTCTAGAATAATACTTCTCAGAAGTTAATGTGCAAACAGTTCACCTTGGTACCTTGTTAATATGCAGCTTCTGATTCGGTAGATCTGGAGCAGGGCCTGAGATCCTGCTTTTCCAACAAGTGCCCAGGTGGTGCTGATGCTGTTTCACTTTGACTAGCAACATTCTAGAACACTCAGCTTGTTGCTCTTTCCACTGCCCTTATGAATTGCAGTCGTTCACCAAAGAAATGTAGAAAATGTGAGAGTTTGACAGATAAGCCCCTAATTATCCCTGAGCTGGTGAGTAGAAGTAGAGAAACATGTGAATGGTAATGGAGACGCAGAGAAGGGAGTGGAAAGACCTATCCAGAGACCAAACACTCTGCTGGCTCTGCAAGGTGTTTGCTGCCTTCAAAAGTCCTCTAATTTTGGTAAAGACCATGGGAAAGCTTGTTTTAAAACCCTTAAGCTGTTTAGCTGCCCATGTGATCTGCTTGGGGCTGTAGGTTAAGAATCTTTCCCTGCCTAGGAAGGATGAATTGACCTTCTTTCTCTATAATCTTATGCAGGACAATTCTCTAACATGTAACAACTTAGAGAAGGCACACTGCAATTCACTGGCAAGGCATGAGAGTAACTGGCAACACATGCATCTTGGTCCGTGTCTGCTTTGCTGTAGTGTTGTAGAGAGACAGCTGAGTATGAAAGGTATTCCCAGGCTTGGGCCTTGCTCTTGGTGCCACAACTAACTTTATATGCAGTCTTCAATAAATCACAATTTCTCTATGACAAATTTGTCAAAAGAGCTTAATGATACTGGCATATGGGCTAAGGTCTATTTAAAACTGTATAAACTGATGTACAAAATAATACTAGTGGCTCAATGAAATTGGTAGATTGAAGTCAAGTGTCCCACTGAATTGGATTGTAGCCTGAGTTGTACGACCTGAAGCCTTTGGGTATGGAAGATCCAGCAATCAATTCTCAAATAAATGTCATCAGTTAAGAGTTCCCGGCTATCTCTTGGGCTCTTTCTCTGTCAAGTACCACTGAGTTTTATGTCAGTCCTGATCTGTGGTTCCTGATTTGTGGTTCCCTCTCTCTGAGGAAATACATACAATACCAATTAGGGAGAGATATTATATACTTCTCAATGTCACTGCTCACATGATCAGTGTCCCCACTGCAGCAAGGGGCACTATGGTTCACTCTCTTTTTTCTAGTTATCTAGAGTCCTATAAAAATTATGTCATGGTGTGTATCTAGGTAGGTATTTGTGTGTGTGACAGAGAGAGAGATTGATTGTGTGCATGGGGATGTGTGTGTCAGGGAAGGAACGGCGGGTAGCATGGAGTAAAGCTGGGAATGGGGAAGGACAAAAGATATTGAATCACAAACCACAAATCCACCCTTGTATAGCAACACTGTGTGTGTTTGTAAATTCAGTACCTGTTTGTTGACAGGAGAGAGCCCAAGTCAGTTTTGTAAGAGAATCCAATTATCAGAAAACTCCTAAGCCTGTCCCAGTCTCACCTTGTGTTCCTCCACCTTCTTTGCACCTAGGTTGGTGCTCTAAGCTTATGACGGGGAGATTAGGTAGCATGAGGGTATTACAGAGAGATAAATCAGGATGCAAAGATCCTTTATTCTTTCACTGTGAAGAAGGCAACTGGACAGCTTATAGGAGCAACATTCAGCTCAGTGAGTATTTCTCCATTTCTGATGAGTTTAAGCAGAATATAATCAAGGGCTTGGGGGAGAGCGTTGAGCTGGTTCTAAAACAAAGAAATGGAAGAAGAGAACACACTGAACTTGTGGGCTTGGACTGGGGTTGGGGATGGAAATGGGAGAAAACATGAGGAAACACAACTAAATTTCCTTATAATGCCACATGAGCTAATAAGTGAAATTTGATTATTATAAGGTCACTGCAAACCTAGATTATTAGTCATTATTCATTCAGAAGGAACCCAAAACTGAGGCTTCCTTTTTGTGGCTCCATGGCAAACAGTTTTCTGGGAAAGGAGGGTTTGGGGGACTACATGACCGTAGAGCAAACACTTCTCTACTCCCAGGATGTGCCTGAAAGCTTGGCCGAGGCACCAAGAGGCTGACAGACCGTGTGAGGGTAAGGAGAAAGGAAGCTGAGAGCCAGCGTGGGAATGACCACAGGGCACTGTGGGTGGCTTACCCTTCCCCTTCTGAGGTTTAAAGTGTTTGTTTGTTCCAATCTGAAGCAAGGTACTTGCTGGATTTTTGGTTTTGCTTTTTCATGGCCTTGGTTTCGGTCTTCCTTGGCTCTGCAAATTACTTGATTCTGTCTGCCTTGGCAGGACCCTGGGTGACATTTATGGGCCCAACCTCATCAGTGGAGGAAAAGTACTCCACCCCCTCTCTTAGTCCATTAACAAAGGAATCATCTATCTGTCTATGTCTTTGCTGAGAAAGACAGAACTGGAAGTCTAGGGTGATAATAGCAGCATCAGAGAACTTGACTCAAGGATCTTCCGAAACTGCCCTTTTTTACCTGGAATTTATGGAGGATCCTCCTCTGCAGCTTCCTACAGCTGAGCTCTGCTGCCCTGGGTCTAAGGCGACACTAACCCCAGTTCCCTACAAAACTATGTCTTGAAACATTACATTCCTGCCTCTGCTTCTTTCTGCAGAAGAACAGCTTGTAATCTTCATAAGGGGAAGGGCTAACATTGCTTAAAACACAGGAAAACATTCTGCCTCATGAAGGAATGAATTAGTTGACAATTTTGGGGGCAAAAATGTGATGCCTCTTACAGCTAAAATCAAGACTGATGCTGGATTCAGGATTTTTGGCTCCAGGGGTACCCTTGGAATTCCTAGGAAAGCATGGTTGGGATAAGTTTAGCCTTGGTGACATCTATGGCTGACACGATTGACTTCCAAGGCAGGAAAGGGTCATACTTGCTCTGCTCCTTCTAAAGGTTTTATGGGGAGACCTAGAGGGTGAATCTATGCCACAAACACTCTAGGGATTGGTTGACTGTCCTAGGTACTCAAAAATGAAATATTGTACGTGAAACATACAACAAACATCATAACAATCATCATCCATAGCACAAATCCTGAGGGCCATGAGGATGCAGGGGTTAACCAGGCAGCTTTTAGGTAATCTTCCTGAAGAGAATTCTTTTACATGATGCATCACAGCTAGAATTAGACGTGAGCTCTATCCAAGCCTAGAGGTGCAACTTCTAAATTAAATAAACTTGCCAAAGAAACTTGCAAGAAAAAGGAGGAAGTGTAAGCAGGGGAAGATGGAAGTCAAGTGTGATTTTTAAGTTCTCCAAAGTTGCTGTGAGTGGTGTCAAAGGAATCCAAGAAAAGCTTCTTAAGACAGAATTTTGAGACCAGGAATAAGTTAATAGTTGGGGGTTTGGGGAATGCAGAGTATTATCCAGCAAGTGCTGATGACAACTGCCACTTGGGCACGTGACCAGCAGCAGACGGCCCAGGAGAAGGGGTGTCGCGGGGTGGGTGAACCTGTGTCACAACCAGGTTTGCGTGCATGTGCATGGTTTCCTTGACTTCCAGAAGATCTGGTACACAGGTACTCTTTTTTGAGTACTTTTCACCAAATACTCTATTTATATTATCCCCTCTAACGTTCCCCATAACCCTAAAAAGAAGGTATTATTTGATTCATTTTATACATGGAATGAGGCCCAGAGAGCCTCATTATGCAATGTGTGCAATTTATCCAAGGTCACACAGCCAGTTTTGTGGAGCAGGAATTTGAAACTATGTCTATTTGATTCTAAAGCCCATACTGTTTACACTATATTGTCTCCCAAAGGATAATTTAACTGATTGTAATTTTAGGCCTCATGTTATAGACTCTGGATCTAACATGGTAGGGTGATAGTTAGAGTTTCAGATAAAATAGAATATAGTTAAATTTGAATTTCAAATAAGCAACAAATGATTTTTTTAAGTATAAGTATGTACCATGCAACATTTGGGATATACTTATACTGAAAAATTATTTCTTGTTTACATGAAATTTAAATTTAATTGGATGTCCTGTATTTTCATTTCTGAATCTGGCAATCTTAGTCCTAGTAGATTTTCCAGATGAGAGAAAGGAAAGTTTGTGTTTTCTTACTACTTTGAAAGAATTGGGAAGTCTAAAAAACTTGATCTGAGAGAAATTCTCTAGTTTTCCTCTGCAGCTTTGGCAGAGCTGGGATGTGTCAGTTACTGGAGGCACACTCTGAGAATAATGCTGGTCTTGGCTGCCTACCAGTGATTCCCATGGTCCCAGCTATACTTGGGAGAGGCACAGTCTTTGCCTGTTTACCGGGAAAGGAGAGGGCCCACAGCACAAGAATTGGAGTCAGTGAGCAGAGCAGCTGGTAATACATTTCCTAAAGCTACTTAGGGCTTTGTGAGGCGAAGATCAGCTGATGCTTTCTCTTTGGTTTGATGCAGAAGGTCACAGGGTCAGGATCTCAAGACCCAAGGTTCAAGGGATTAGCTAGATTTCTTCATTTATTTAGTCACTCATATGCCAAATATATATGACGCACCTACTACGTGCCAGGCAATGTTGCAGGTTTTGAGGCTACAGAAATGACCCAAAACTGAAAAAGTGGCCTCCTGGAGCATATTCCAGTGGGGGATTGAGACAGGACCCATAGCATGAGAAGGTGATCCAGGCTCCTGACGTTCACCATCCCTGGTACTAGCTCACGGATCAGTCGATGTATTTCTATTGAAGAAGTTGAGGACTGGCAGGGGAGAATGAAAATAGCAATTGGCGAAAAGAAGCTAAGTAAAAAATATCTTGGAGGCAAGAATAACAATTTAACCTGATTTTGAAAGTAATTAGAAAAAGTTGACGAACTTGAGGTTATACAATAAGATTTGAAGGATGCGCAGTGTGGCGGAAAGAGAGAGAGACGATTAGCATGAGCCAAAGATTGTCAGAGAGAATCCAAGCTAAGAATATCAGCATAAATCTGTGGGTGAAACAAGGAATCTTCATAAAGCAAAGCTCCCAGGCGGTAGACTATGGAAGGGGTTGTTTTAGGGTAAGAAATTAAGGCTGCTTGGAAGTTCTTTGGAGATTTTCAGAATCATCCTTCCCAGGCTAAGTATGATCAACATTTGTGATAGAAAAGGAGAAAGAAAAAAAAATGTCATCCGTTAGCTTAGCATAGTTATTTTTAAAATTTATCTTTGTTAATCATGCTCTTTTATTTGTACTTGAAGAATGACAATGTACATTTCTGTAGTTAAAATAAAAGTGTGTGAAAACTACGTTGGATATGTCCATGATTTGGATAGGAGAAAATATCGAAGATTTCTGAGAAATGTGTCTGGATGTGGAGTTAAAGTACCAACTTCCTGCTTAATCACTCTGCGTTGACTTCCCTATTTGTGTATGTGTGTGTGTGTGTGTGTGTGTGTGTGTGTGTGTGTGTGTGTTGGGGTGTATTGAGTACTACATGGATGTTGTATTCCTGGTTCAGAGCTCTCCCTGTCCAGACAACTACATTGTCATCTCCCAGAACTAAGAGAGAAGTCTCTGTTTGACAGGGGGATAAAACAAAATAAGGACCGTGAAGAACAAAGCCCATAAAAAATGAGCCAGTAAACATCGAGTCAGGTTATTTTGCAGCTGGATAGAGAAATATGTAAAGCTTAAATAACATATCTGTGCTGTAAAGACTGTAGATATCATTAGTTCATTTTCCTCTCTTACAGATGGAACTGGTGACCACAGAGGGGAAGTACAACATTATAATAAATTCACATAGAAAGCTAGTAGTGAACATATCTACCTAGATTTTTGAGCTTTTAAATTTATCAGTTGCCAGTTTACAACCCACTATATTGAGTGCCTCCATCTATTAATATCATGTTTTCTTTAAAATACCTTTAAAAGATAACTTTTTCTTGTGTGTCAACACAAAATACTGTGCTTCTTTGTCAAGGTGCTTTTCTTCCCAAGTTTACAGTAAAGGTCTAATAAGCAATGGTCCCCATATCTTGAAAGATTTTCTTTTTTTCTCTCATTGTTTAAGGAGCCTGAAAAAGAGCCATCAGCCGGCAAAGGACCATCAGAATGAGTGACAGCACTACTTTAGCTCCTCCAGCTTCAAACCAGGGTCCCACTACCCCACGCAAAGGGCCTCCCAAGTTCAAGCAGAGGCAGACTCGCCAATTCAAGAGCAAACCTCCTAAGAAAGGTGTGAAAGGGTAAGACCAAGATGAAAAAGACAACTTTCTATTGTCCTCCCCCCCCAAAAAAACTGCTTTGGTTTTGAGAAATTAGTGCTTACAATGTTAAGTAGACTTACAAAAATTTCCATCCCATCCTCTATTTTCTTCTCTAACACAATCTTTGCTGAATCATTTCCATTAGCCCTGGAATCTTTGTCTCTCAGCTCCCAGGCCTATGGCCAACTTCAAAATGGCAAATGGAACCTGGCAAAGTGACCTTTGACTTCACCTTCCAGACTTTTCTTGACCACCCCTTTTGCCAACATATCCTATGCTTTAATCTGGATACTGAAAAACTTTTCATTTCAGAACACAGTTTATTTTCAAGGCTTTAAATGTTATGTCTTCATTTCTTTGTTTTTCTCTTTCTTTTCTTGGCAAAATCCTACTTATTTTCCAAGACACACTCACGTATTAACTTCTTTCTGAAGTCATTACTGACTCTCTTAGGTAAATATCATTATTTTCATGTTTGCATTTTGTACATTCAGCTATCACAACTTGTATTATTTTGTATTATGTTTCTTTATTTACATCTGTTCCCTGATGCTGAGATCCTTTAGAGAAAATTCGTTTGTTTTTCCTTAGCTCCCTGTGTCTAACACAATGCTTGGCACATAGTAGATGCTTAATAAACGCTTTTGGATAACAAAACAAATGGAGAAAGGAATCATTTTAATGCATCTCATATTGCTTTCTCATTTCAATGTCTATTTTAAAAAGTAGAGCTTGACCAAATTGCTCCACCGATAACTCTTTCTGACTCCCAGTTGTCTTAGGCTAAATATTCACAGGGGGAAAAAATCTCTCTCCACTGGGACATACTATCTAAAACTTGCCCGAGTAACATTTTCTTTGCCCCAGTTTAATCCAAACAAAGAGAATTTCTCAAATACAAAACTTCTCTTCTTCTTCTCCCTTGAGTCAGGAAACTCTTTACGTGAGTCATTCCAGGATGCTTTAGCTCTGATCACAGCTAATTTCTCTTTTTCTTTTTTCCCATAGGTTTGGAGATGACATTCCAGGCATGGAGGGGCTAGGAACAGGTGAGCCACCCAAGGATTTCAGTGAAGAGTTTACACTTGGAGTTTCACATTTTTATCTACTTCAGGCCTCAAGGGGCAGGTGAAAGTTAGCGGAAATGCCTAAGGCAGCAGATCTTTTGAAAACCTAGAAATGTGGGGTTTTAATTTAACCTCCTAAGTAAGTATGTGTGTGCCCAGATGCAAAAACTAAAAGAAATCAGACAGGCCCAAGGTTTAATGAATCTTCTTGTTTCCTTAAACAGCTCTTGGGGGCATATAATGATAAACTGGAGACTTCCACGGTAGACAGATTCTCAGAATGAGCCTAGCCCAACTTCTTTATTTTTCAGAAGAAATCTGAGACTAGACAAATTAAGTGAGTGACAATCTGAGGCCACAGAGTGAGGTCTTGGAAACAAGGGTGGGGCCTGGAGAACCTTTCTACTCTAGCAGGCAAACCATCCCCTTACCAGCTTCCTCTTTTTACACATCCTTTGGCACCCAGAACAGGGCCTTACACGCTAAATGTATTCAATACAGTATTTTTTAATTGGCTAAAACATTGCGTTCATTGGATAATGAATGCAAATTACTGTATATTCCTTTTTTTAAAAAATTAATACTTTATTTTTTTAGAATAGTTTTAGGTTTATAGAGAAATTACACAGAAAGCAAAGAGTTCCTACATACGCCTTCTGCCACCTTCCTCTCCCTGTAAGTAGAGTTTCCTCTATCATTAACATCTTACGTTAGTGTGGTACGTTTGTTACCATCCATGAAGCAATATCGATACATCATTATTAACTGGAGTCTACAGCTTACGTTAGGGTTCACTCCTTGTGTTGTTCAGTTCTATAGTTTTTGACAAACGTGCAATGTCATGTATTTACCATTACATTTTCACACAAAATATTTTCACTGCCCTAAAAATCCCCTGTGGACCACTTGTTCATCGCTCCCTCCCCCTAAACTCCTGACAACCACTAATCTTTTTACTGTCTTTATAATTTTGCCTTTTCCAGATTGTCATATAGTTAGACTCATAAAGGATACATAGTTTTTCCAGACTGGCTTCTTTCGTTTAGCAATATTTATTCATTTAAGCTTCCTCCATGTCATTACACGTCTTGAGAGATCGTTTCTTTTTACCACTGAATAATATTTTACTGTATGGTTGTATGACAGTTTATTTGTCCTATTGAAGGACATCTTGTTGCTTCCAAGTTTTGGAAATTATGAATAAAGCTGCTGTAAACATCCTTGTGCCAGTTTTTGTGTGGACATAATTTTTCAACTCATCCAATACCCTTTTGACAAGTGGTGGCACTCATAGCAATCAGTGTCCTTACCAGGCAATTCTCAGTGTATTCGTTTTTTGCAGTGGATTGCCAATCCTGGGATCTCAAATATATTTTCTAGGCACTTTATAAAGCTCATTTGCTGTTCTTCTAAATTAACTGCTTCTGTGTTTTGGCTGTGTATATATAAGACCAGCCAACTCACTTTGGACTCCAGAAGATATGCTTAACTCTGCCAACATACTTAGAATAGTGGAAAAAGGCTTATACTGAGGGAAAGTCTGAAGTCTTTGATCTGGTTCTGGCGCCATCCCTCAACTGTGTGGTTTCTTGCTAGGTATTTAATCTCTCTGGATATCATTCAGCTTCTCCATAACTGCTGTTTGATATCTTATTGCCTGATGCAAGGGACTGGAATAGATGATGCCTTGAGGTCACTTCTCAATGTGTGATTTGATATTCACATTTAAAAAAATGTAAAGGAACTGAAAAACAAGTCACAGAGGCCCATGGAACCCATCTGGATTAGTAGAAGATAAGGAGATTGTGGATTTCCAGACTATGGGAATTTAATGTGCTCCTATTTCTCATTTTAACGCTTGGCCTAACTAGAATCCCACTTCTCTTCTTTCCTTAGTGATTGTGCTTTGGGGAGACCTTGTATGATCAGTGAGCTGCACCTCCAAAGGGTAGCCTCAGTCAAAAACCTTGGCTTACCTCCCCAAAGAGGATAAAGAATAAAACCAGCCAAAATGCCTCGTGGTGGGGGGCCGGCTGGTGGCACAGCAGTTAAGTGTGCATGTTCTGCTTCAGCGGCCCAGGGTTTGCCAGTTCAGATCCCAGGTGTGGACATGGTACCGCTTGGCAAGCCATGCTGTGGCAGGCATCCCACATATAAAGTACAGCAAGATGGGCACAGATGTTAGCTCAGGGCCAGTTTTCCTCAGCAAAAACAAGGAAGATTGGCAGCAGATATTAGATCAGGGCTAATCTTCCTCAGGAAGAAAAAAAAAAATCCTTGGGAGAGCTCCTGTTCCAGGGGCATCAGAAGTCTGCAGGATTAATAAAGCAGTTGATCTGATCCCTCCTGGGCTGCAGGGCCATTCTAGATAACTTCCCAGTCGCAGGGACAATGAATAGGAGAGAGGAATGCGGCGTCTCTGCCTTTTTGAGCAGACGAGGCCTTCCTGAGGATGAGGTTGGCTTACAAGTTCTTCTTCCCTCTCTTACAGATATCACGGTGATTTGTCCCTGGGAGGCGTTTAGCCACCTGGAATTGCATGAGCTCGCTCAGTTTGGGATCATCTGAGGCACCAGAGGTTCTGCAGCTCTCTACAGCATCTATATTAACTCTGATCACTTCTGCCCTATTGATCTGCCGGAGTCTTGAAATTCAGCTGTTCAGATGTGGTTTCTTTGGCTTACACAGTCATTTCCTATAAGTTCCTACCAAGAGTTTGCTTAGTGTCAGACTCTTTCTTGCTGTGTAGCTCAGCTCAGAACAGTGGATGAAAACCAACCTTTGTTAGGGCATTTCAAACTTTACTACCTTTTTCTATCAGCTGGCTAGAAGTCACCACTATTTCTCTACATTTGGCTTATTTGTTAAGTCCTACAAATCTATTTTTGCTAGGCATTTATTTTGATGAGTAGTAAACTTTTGAGATAACATTTATGTCACTCCCCTCCCCTTGTTATTTAATAAAGGAGATATTTACCTTGAATCTCATAATGAAGTTGTATTAAATGCTATATGGAAATACCTGATGCCCTTTTCTGAGAACCAATTAAACAAAGAAGGCACAGCCATGCAGGAAATGAGCACACTGCAGGCAAAGAGCACGGGATTGAGTCAAGTCCTGATTGTGCTTTGTAACTTTGTAAATCCTGCACTTTCTGGGTCTGAATTTTATTGAACTAGGCTATTGCTGAGGTCTCATGCAGCTTTAAATTGTACAGCTCTAAGCTGGTGGAAGACTGCAGATTTAAACTCAGGACTCCGATGATGGGAGTCTAAAAAGTGCCTTGATTCATTTATTGAAAAGATTTACATACCACAAAGTTTAGACTGAGAGGCAAAGGACAGGTAGCTGAACCCTCTAAATAAAATGATGGTTTGCTTCATCCCTGGGGTTGTGTCAAGTGTAATGTGCACATAACTTTCTTTCCCCAAGTCTTTCAAAGCAATTGTGTAACACAAACGCTGCCTCTGTCTGACTTGAATGCCTTAGGTACTAGCAGTGTTAATTTCTTCATTTCAGTTTTGTAATCTGTGGTAAAAGAATGGAGTAAATTAACTGAAAAGAGAGGTAAGATGATGGAGAGGAAAAAGATTTGGGTTCTAATCCTGACTTTACCAGTAAATTGCTCCATAATTTTAGGCAAAGATCTTATTGTTTGATCCTCCAGGTTGCCTGAATTAGATAATCTAAGGTTCGTGGTAGCAATAAATTCTGTGACTTTGAGCTAGGTCCTCAGAGTCTGAGCATGAGAATTAGAGATCAGCGCTCAAGAAAATTTCTTCTGCAGGCTTTGTGTGAACTATTTTGCACAAACGACCTAGTGACCTTCTGGATTGGTAGAGGGTAAGGAGACTACAGATTTACAGACCGTGGAATTTAAAGTGCTCCTATTTATCTTGTAACCCTTGGCCTGGCAAGAATTCTACTTCTGTTCCCTCCTTAGTGGAAAAGAAAAATGACAAAAGAGAAAGTAAGGTATAAATTCAAAAGTGGAACCATGACATGGGGGAGGGGGTGGTAACAGGCACTTCCTCCTCCAGTGGGAGCGCCCGCCTCCACCCACGCACCTGCTTGCCAACCAGCTGCTCCACCAGACAGCCAGAGCCTGCGGTCTGCACTTGCTCACCCCAGTGTGTCTGTCAGTGAGGGAGGTCTGGATTCTTCTCCAGCTGAGTGAGACTCTGGGCCACATTTAGCTTACTTTGCAAATGTTTCTCTAAACGTGAAGCAATAGCGTTGACAAAAAGAGAATGCATCCAAAGGCCAGGATGGAGAAAGATCTAGAAACCATGTAAATAAAGAACTGTTGAAGGAATGAATGGTATTTTGCCTAGGAGAGAAAAATATAATCGCCAGCAATTGCCTGTAATGAAGAGGATGAAGCAGACCTATTTCATGTAGTATTCTAGCATTTAGTGGTAAACTGGAATAGATATGATATAAAGCCCATTCAAACTGTAGAATTCTATTCTTTCTATTCCTGAATTCTAATTTTATTATCTCTATTATTTCTAATAAGAAACAAAAAACCTCTATTATATTGAAAGCACTTATGAAAGAGATAAAGGTAAATCCTTGTTCCCGTCAGAGTCCTGGCAGCAGAAATGCCATACTCAGAGTAATTGAGGAAGTTTTAACAAAGGGACTATTTACAAAGGCTGGGGAAGAGTTAAGGAGAATCTACAAAAGGTAGCACACTAATGTTGAGTTAGCAACAGCTTTGGGGCTACAACATTATCAACCCTAGGCCTGAAGGAACCCCAGGAGGTCTGCTCCAACTATAAGAAAGGACCCCCTCAGAGGACTGTGACCTTCAGTACAGGGATACAGCCGACCCACAGGGATCTTGTGGGCAATCAGGAGGAGGTGCGGGTGAGACAATAAATAAGTTAATGGAGTTCTTCTCCCATTCTTTACTCTCCTGTTGATGCCTCCCATTGGATAAACTCAACTGGAAGTCAGAGGGAAAAGGAGCCCATTAATGTGTCAGTAAAGTTCACTTCTAACAGCAAAGCTCAGATGGAGAAGGGTGGAGAGTGGATGTGATGGGGCGAATGGGAAAGATTCAGCATAGCAATAATATTGAAGAACGGATACTATTGGTCAGCCAGGGATTTTTAGTTACAGTTGGGAAATAGTATGGATATGTTAAAAACCTCCAAAGGTGATTCTGATACAAACCCCTGGAGTGGCAGAAGGACAGTTTTAAATACAAAGAACAAATAGAAAAGACACAATAGATGAAAAAGAACAATTGCAGAAGGAAATTACCACAGAATTTAAGGGTTTGGAGGAGTTTTTGAAATATTCTGATACTTTCCTGATAATTAGAACAACAGAGACTCTCTTGTTAAAAACACAAGATTTGGGCCCCACTCCAGATTTTCTGAATAAAAATCTCCAAGGTAGATTTCCAAGATAGAGATCTTAGAGTCTGTATTTTTGTTATTTATTTATTTAGTTAGTTTGTGAGGAAGATTGCTGCTGAGCTCACGTCCATGCCAATCTTCCTTTATTTTATGTGGACACTGACCTAGCATGGCTTGACAAGCAGTGCTAGGTCTGTGCCCAGGATCCAAATCCGTGAACCTCAGGCTGGTGGAGCGGAGCAGGCAAACTTAACCGCTACACCACCAGGCCAGCCCCAGAATCTGTATTTTTAATGAGGGCCCCAGGTGATTCTTATATTTGTGCCAGTTTGAAAACACTGATGTGGTCCAAGCCTATATTTTAAACATTAGGAATTAACTAATTCTTACCACCCAGTGATCTATTTAATGGATTCTACTTTCCCCCAATAACATATGTAACATGTGTGAGAACAGGAGCTAACACTCGAGTGTTCTGATTCTCAGACTGTTTGGTTGACTGATAGAATAGACACGCCTCGCTACTCCACACCTAACCCAGCAAAATGCATCTTCATTTGCAAGAATGTCAGAGAGTTCAGAATGTGTCGGACTGAAGCAATTGCAAGAAGTATAGGGCCAAAAGGCACCACCGTTCCCAGGGCTGACCTCTTGCCATGGCCTCACATGGTCACCCTCCCTCTGTAGCCTAGGTCACTCCCTGTCCTCATCTGCATCCTCTGTCTCGGCAGGTGGCCGCAGTGACCTTCACTTATCTTCCACCTCTTTCCTGTTTGTTCACACCCTTGCTTAGAAGTTGGGGTTGATGGTGCTGGTGATGTAGGCATCGACCCACATTCTAGGGCTCGGTAGCATTCCAGCCAGAGCAGAAAGCAGAAGATAAGGAGAAAATACTCCTCTGGACTGCCCTATTTTAGGCAAATGTACACAGTTGTTATCAAATAATTGCTACTGTGCAGTTGACTTTTTTCTTTGCACAATGAAAAAAGCAAGAATCACTATAAACTGAAGAAAGGAGGGAGAGTCTTTTCTCGACAACTAAAGAAGTTAAGGAAAAACTCATGCAGACGAGAATAATTGATAAAACCCATATCTAGTGCAAGAGGAAAAACGATCACACAAGACTAAAAAACATAAAAACTAATATTACAACAACTAAGCAAATATGACACAGAATTGTTTTAAAGAGAAAAACAGAATAGGACTTATGTTTCATAAAAGGCTAGGGGGAAAGGCTTGTACGGGCCACAAATGTGTGGATGTATAAACCAGCACAGTGCAGTTTGCAGCTCTAAATGAGTTGTTTAACTTTCTTCCTCCTTCTCAAGGGCAGAGTCAGAGTGATGAAAACGGAAATTTAAAAGCAAGAATCATAAACTGATTGTCCACATCAACCACACCTTCTTTCATGGCAGAACAATCAGGAGGCCTGGGTCCTGGCTGGCTCTGCTGCCCGGCACTGCTGGATCATCAGCTAAGCCGCTCAGCTTCTTGGGGCTCAACGTTTGAGGAAAAAAGCAAGGGTATTGGATTAAATGATCACCAAGACCCTTTTCAGCATAAAATTCTAAAAGTCAAATACTCTACACATATTTCAAGCATAAATGAGCCTTTCCCTTTATGGCCAGAAGTTCAAAGGCCCTGAAGCTCCAGGTCCAGCTCTTTTCAGAATGAGAGTTCACGCACTTGCCTTTCCCATTTCTCCTGGGCGTAGTAGTCCAATCAAATCATGTCGCGCACTGCCACCTGCTGTAGTGACTGAGCACTCCGTGAACACGTGGGGATGTAACCATTTCTAGTAGAGGACTTAAATCCATCGAGCTAGTTCTGAATTCATTCTCACTCATCGACCAATTTCAACTGTTGTACTGCTTGGCTATGGAAAGGTAATCCGTGCACAAGACAGGCATTAAAAGGATATAAATGTGGACACAGCACAAGGTAAGTCTCACTTCCACCCAATGCCCTGTTTCTCGATCCACTTCTCAGTCAATCCCTGTTATCAGCTTGCTGTGAACGGTTCCAGGGACAATCTGTGCATAGACATACTTGTGTATATACAGTTTTTCTTTGCACAATGATATACTATATTCCCTCTTCTATGCCTGGCTTTTTCACTTTTTTAATCTTGGGCATTGCTCCGTGTCTGTACGTTTTTATCTACCTCATAGTTCCATTTGTATGGTTGGAATTTAATTCGTCTATGCAGTCTTACACTGATGGACATTTTGGATGTTTTCAGGCTTTTGTATCTTTCCTCAAATGTCTGCACATGGATGACACATTAGCACAGATTTATCTCTAGGATAAATTCCTAGTAGTAGAATGGAGGTATTTTGAAGGAAAGATATTGCCAAATTAGCCACCAAAGATTTTGTAACCGTTAGCAGAAAATATACAATTAATATGTATTTTTTCTAATACTCTCACCTACACAGAATACTATTAAATTTTATTTTACCTGAGATTGAACAGATTTTCATAAGTTTAAAAGTCACTTTTGTGTCTTTGTGAATTGTCTGCTTATGTTCTTTGCCTGTTTTCCTACGAGATCACTGATCTTTGTATTGAATTGTAAGATGTTAATCTCTATCACCTATCTATCTGTCTATCTATCTATC